ATTCTGAGGCAGACGAAGAAGCCGCAGCAGTTTCCTCTCTCAGCTCAGACGTCTCTCAGCGTCTGTCTTCCTGTTCACCGTTGCCAGAGTCACAAACACCCACCGGAAACTGCTGACAGAAGGGCTGCTGGTTCCTTTGGAGTAAAGTGTTGGCACAAGAACTGCTCCGCAGAAAAAACAGGAGAGCAAACACACCTGTAAAGAGTGAAAAACCATAAATTGATATTACTATGATAATGTGTCACAGCTAGCCGTGAACTAGCTCCTTATCTCTTGCAGGGGAAATTCAGCAGAAAACGCCCTTATTTTCTGCTACTGATTCTTGTATTATCTTTGTTTTGACATAAAAATCACTCAACAGATGAATATTTCAGGATTACTGTCACAATAACACCACATAAATATCATTTATCTTGTGCTATAAAAAGTTAAAACCTGAGCAAGCATGTGAAAAGAGTAACTCTGTCAAGTTGTGATATTTTAGACACTCTCCCACAAGCTGAATAAGCTGTTGCACTAATAAAGAGTTACTTTAGCTTCTGGTGGAAATTTTACATTCTAACTTCTGACTGTTGGTAACAATGATCAGCACATTTTTCAGTCCAAGTGCTCTTATTAGTTTCCAGTTTTAGTAAAGCATCCTTGACAAACAAGTGATTAACCGATTATGCTCCATCTAGCTGATGAGTTATACTGGATTATCAAGTCTGAATGAAAGTTAGGGGGTTTCTGAGGATATAACAGCTTTGTGCTTTATGAAATCTCAAGAAAGTTGATTAAGAAGTGAATGAGGCCAACAAACTCCCGAAAGAAAGACATCCTCAAACTATGGAAGATGAGGAAAAAACACATAGAAAGTGACAAAGACAGCGTAACAATACACTGAACTCCTGTAGTCTCAACCTACAGGGCTTATTCACTGCAGACTAATTCAAATGTTAATTACTTGAGCTGTCTAAAGGGACTCTGTGGTTTTACCCCAACTGGCTAAACGTGTAATTTCAGATTACTTTCTCATTTGACAACTCACAGCTATCATACATTCCTGGACTTCATAAAACAAACAGAAGATGTAAAAGGCAACAATGAGCCATCATAAATATTACAGCTGGCATCCCTTACCCGGAAAGAAGACTTAAATAGCTAAACATTCACAAATAACATTTTTTGGTAATGAGGTTACAATAAATGTTTCAGCTTTATCTTTTTTCCTGTGACTCTTCGCCTCTGATCTGCGGTCCAGTGACTTTTTAAACTTGATATTTGGGAGATTAAATAAAACATATACAAAACCTCATGACTCTTCCAACATTAATCAAACTCAACCTCAGTTAATTTAGATCTTTAACAAACAGATGCATATGCTATTTCTGTATAAAACAGCACATTATTCGCCAACCTATTTTATAAAACTGGATCAGCTATTTTTTGCTGTCCAACAGGCAGTGAAGGGAGGATCAAGTGTGCCCTCAAATGCAAAGACTTTGCTGACAAAGTCTCTCTCCCAAAACTGAATTACTGACTCTGCAGCTGACAGAACACTCTGCTGACATTGACGTGACAGAAGCACACATTGAGCTGGCATCGAGTACAGAGAAGCTTAAAGTTGGTCCTAAATGCATCCGATATCCTTACAGGATTAAATGTTACTGTCTGTGATCTGAAAGTAATTTCTATTTACAAACAAATAAACGTTATGTAACGTAACTACGCGCCGCTGCGGCAAAAAAAAAAAAGACTCTCGTCTTCAAATGATAAACAGTTACAATTAGGTTTTAGACACCGAGTCTTTCCCCCTGATTCAACAATTATTACGAATTTGATTTATTTGGTGGCTAGAGCGACTGTCAACAGCAAACTACAGTTAACTGTCAGATGCTACCACGGTTAGCTCACATGCTAACCTCGCTAGCACTCGAAGCTGAGTTTTTTTCCTCTTGACAGCTGCTAGCCTACTGAGCTAACTTGAGCTCATTTCCGAGGACCAAGACAAGAATAGGAAGATAAAACTAGGTTTAAAATAAACAAGCGTCCGTATGTCTATTGCTAATAATATATAATATATCCACAAGGCGTTTTATTTAAAATTTAAGAAGTTACACTCACCAGAAGGTGATCGGTTTACCGGAGGGAAACGCAAGCTCGACTTGAAAGCAGAATACCCCCCCAAAAAAACCCGGAACTGTGCCGACTGTTTACGTAAGACAAGTTCCGCTTTAAAGTGTGACTACTTCCGCTGGTACCCACGTTTTTTTTTATCCCTTTACGGACTGAAAACCTCACATTCCCTGCTAAAAAAAGACGATTTTACATCCTAAAAATGAGACCGTTAACCGAGGAGGAGACAAAAACGATGTTTGAGAAACTGTCAAAGTAGTAAGTGAGCTTAAAAGTGTCTTTTTTGGCCCGGAAGGGAGCAACGTTTAATAATATATATTAGCACGCATGTTAGCATTCATGTGATCAGTGTATTTTCTTTCCCAAAAGCATAGGGGAAAACATTAAGCTTCTCGTTGACCGACCCGATGGCACCTATTGCTTCAGGCTACATCAAGACCGCGTGTACTACATGAGGTAATTATTGGTTAAGACAAATATATAATTATTTTATAAGCACATGGAGCTCCTTACTGATGGCATGTTTCAAATGGTTCAAAACCTGATCCGACTAATATCAGAGAATCATTTCTCATTCATTTAAAAAGCAAAAAGCTACAAAATAATGTAATATACTTTTTGTAAATATGTAAATGACCCTCTAGAATAACCTTCTTTACCATCCATACAATACCAAAAAGCTTTAATCACAGCTAAATAAGACACAATCTTTGATCTTGTCTATTATAGTTGTTATATTTGTATCTTTTTGAAACTCTGTTCATGTTAAATATCAAATGAACAAATACTGTACAATTTTTCTGTTTTGTCTTATGTGCAACAAAGTGTTTTTCTAGTTTATTTAATGTTCTTTTTCCTCATATTATTATTATTTTTTTGATAACACCATTCTTATCCTTGTCTCACCTTCAAAAGCGAGCAGCTGCCTTTGGTTAACTGAGAATCTTATTTAGAACTACTTTTCTCCGTCCACAGCGAGAAAATCCTCAAGTTGGCCACAAACTTTTCCAGAGACAAACTTATTTCGGTGGGAACGTGCTTTGGAAAATTCACAAAGACCAAGAAGTTCCGCCTGCACATCACAGCTCTGGATTTCCTGGCTCCCTATGCAAAGGTGTGTATTCTCTGCACGATTCTTTCCCATGCCAGTTGGAGTAGAAATAAAACAGAGGCAACAATGGTTGAAATTGAAAGCAGATGTACATAATCTGAAACTATCATGATCATGTGCTCAGTTCAAGGTGTGGGTGAAACCTGGAGCAGAGCAGTCTTTCTTGTACGGAAACCATGTGCTGAAGTCTGGCCTTGGTAGAATTACTGAAAACACAATGCAGTATCAAGGAGTTGTGGTTTACTCCATGGCTGATGTACCTTTGGTAAGTTTATTTCTGACTCCTGCTGTTTTGCATTTAAAATACTTGCCTAAAGTATTTTCTTTTTTAAAAGTATTGTCTGGAAAGGCTCAGTTGGATGACCTGGAAGTGACTTTAAAAAGTCAGACTCATTCTGTGGCAGCATTTTTTAGTCAGTTACAGTTCAGCCTATTCTAGAAGGACTAGAAAAGTCACTGCCAATCAGTGCCAAGGCTATCAATAGGATTAGTTCATGGTTGTTAATTGATGATGTAACAGAAGAAACAATAGCCACTCACTCTGAAGTTTGGGACTTGTCAATAGCTGCTAAAAACTAGCTTTGCAAAGTTATACTGCTACATTTTAGAATGACAGAGGAATCAGGAGAGGGGAGAATCACTGGTATGCCAGAACCTCCAATGCTGTCCAAGATAAAAATAACAACTATATAATATTTCTGAAAATCTTGTAGTTTTTTTTATTATCATCATGTCAGTGGACTTAATTGGGGTTGTATACTTCTGTTTTTACAGCAAGTTAGAAAAAAAAAATTGGCCATATAGATTTTGTCTATTTCCAACAAAGAAGCTTGTTTCTGATGGAAAACAAGTTGGATTGCAAGGCCTCATTGTCATTAGCCTAATCTTTAGCTCCCATCTCAGTTTAAGTCTGGATGGGCCACTCCAAGATGACAACATTGATTTCTGTCAGAAGAAACATGAGAATCAAATTAAAATATCATTGTAAAGCTAAATCTGGTTAGGGTGTAAACAATTTTGCTTATCTGTAAATGTGGCCTTAGAGCCTGTAACAGAGCTGTGTGCAGGTCATTTCTGAGCTCATTTGTTTTAACCATGACTTGCTGCAAACCAGTTTTTCCATGTGTGAACCAATGAAAAAAGCTGCTCCAGGTAATTGAGAGCATTTGGTGAAGGATCTTGAATTTAGCCTCTCATGCTAAATATAAACTGTCCTAGAAGTAGAGGGATTTTAACATAAATTAGACAATGTCTCCAATTTCTTGTTTTACCCAAAGCTTCGAATGTTCTGTTTTTATCATCAGGGTTTTGGAGTAGCAGCCAAGTCCACACAGGAGTGTCGGCGAGTAGACCCCATGTCCATTGTTGTGTTCCACCAGGCTGATGTGGGAGAGTTCATCAGGAGCGAGGACACGCTGACTTAAACTCCCTGCGTCTGGATGGACAGTTGTTCTTTTCTCATTTAGAAATGTGGATCCAGAACAGCTGGAGTTCACAGCTGCTCGTTTTGCCCATGTGACGTTTGGCGGGATGAGAGCGTTGCCTTCCTCTTGTTGTGGGATCCGTAACATCTGGAGAATATTTTTCTGCAGTCCCTCAACGTCAATGTGTTTCTATTGACTTATTTTTATATTGCAAACCTGGACTATGTGGAATCTTTTATAGATTCCTTTAAAAATCACCAAATTGAAGGTGGTGTTCCTGTTTTTTTCCCTCTAAATGTTTTTCCTCTTAATAAACCAATTATCCTACTCTTGCAGTGATTGGGGTTTTATTTTATCTACGATAAACTGGGGATTTTAACATGAACCAGGATCCTCATATCTTTACCAATCACAAGTTTAATAAAAACATTGGCCTTTTTATGTATTTGTTGGTCATTTATTACCTGTGAAAACCAAGACGCTTTAAAGCACAGGGCTGTAGTCTGCCATTCTTTTCCAAAAGTCCTTTAAAATAGGACTGCTTAAGCATTGATGAGGCCTTTAGCAACAAATAGGCAAATTAAACCATATTTTTTTTTTGTTTTTGTTTTTTTTTGCCACTTGTTTAAAAGAAAACTCAACTTCTAAACAGGAACATTTGATTCAAACAACTTAACAGTTTTAATAAAATGTTTTAAATTGAACTGAATAAAATGAAAGTAAAAAAATATATAGTTAAACCAATTTTTGGTTCCTCAGCGTTCTCCACCTATCTTTCAAGTTCACATTGGAGCGGTTGTTAAATGAGTAGTACGCCTTTATCTTGCTCCAGTTCCCCTCGCCAAACTTCTTGACCCCTTTGATTAAGTTCTCCGTTTCACTTTCAGTCCATCTCTGTAGCAATTGAAACAATAAAACATGGTCAGGTATGTACTGCTTTGAAAAGATATAATCAAAGAAGCATGCAACTGGAATTAAATTCTTTAAATGCTTAATCTGAGTATCACCAAGACTGACGACAAAAAGCTGTTCAGTTTACCTAAAAAGGCCTTTGAGCAAAAAAGTTGGTGGATTTGACGAGATCAAACTGATAAACATTACGTTAACGAAGGATACAAGAAGCGCATTAGATACTTGCCACTGTTCTGATTTATTAAGCATTTTATGGCGCCAAAATAGATGTGAAACAGCCTGATGGGGGTAAAAATTAACTGTCGAAGAAAAGGATCCATGTTTTGGTAGTTAAAAGTGATCTGTTAGGAAGAACTGTCTCTTTTATCAAATCAAGTCAAGTTGGATCATTATAACAAGAAATAAAAACAACAAAGTTTAAAGTTCCAAATATGATTAATTAGCTTAATTTTAAAAATTGGGCAAAAATAAGTATGTTTCGATTATTTTTCCAGGCCATGATGTCTAACCTTCAATTTCCTTTACTGAAGGCATCAAAAGAAACTTACTTCACATTTCCAAGCAGGTTCTTGGAAATCTGGCATCTTATTACTTCCAGATTTCTCAGGAATCTGGCAGTAATAAGGTGTGTGTGTAACTAGTAGAACTAAACTTAGAAAAATGAGTTAATCACTTTCAATACTTAAATTAACATAGCTTGGGAGACAGGATATATTTCCTGTCTCATTGGTTTAAATAGATTGTTTTTGTCTTAAATTTTGTTTAAACATTTAAATATGCAAAAGAAATGAAAAGTGGAAAAAAAATCTGTTAAAGGGGCAATAACTTTCACACAACACAGAAAACCTAAGTTAGCACTGATTCTTTTGAGTTGACTGTTTTCTTAATGTATTGCTTACCCTTCTGTGTCCTGAATGTGAGATTGTGCTTTCATTTGATCCTGATCCTGATCCTAAAAAACATAAATAATGTTTATATTGTTAGAATTTCACAGTCAGATTAGCATTGATTAGATTCTGATAGCTGAGGAAGCATTACCTCTTTTCTTTATGGAGGGGAACAGGGAGTCCTCATCGATCCACGTCTCCTTTTCCTCCGTTATATTTTTGTGTCCTCTCCTAAAAAGAAGAAGAAGCTTTTTAGAAATTGAGTTTTTCTCTTATATGCAAAGCAAAAACTTCCCATAATAAAAACATGCATGATTAAACAACGACATTAATGCAGAACAGTTTATAATATATCAATTCTTAACATATAAATACTGAAAAAAGTAAATAAGGTAATTTTACACTTTCAGATAAGGATGAAGACACATTTATGTTCTTTAACTGACAGCAGCTGATTATCTCTGCTTTACTAACCAAAGTGATATGACAGGAATCTTGCTTTGAGCATCTTTGTGAGGAGTGGAGCTCTTCTGAGGGACAGGATGAGGAGCGGACACATCAGGCGACGTGTCCAACGAAGACGAATTGGCTGACAGACAAACATGCTCTCCACTGCTCAGGTCACTGGGTACAAATTCCGACACAGACATGAGTCAACTCAGATTTTACACTATATTAAAAATATGTAGAACATGATTCCTCTCACCATTTTTTAGGACTCTTGGATATCCATTTGAGCGGTCGCTTCTTTGGAGTTTTGGAGACGTTTGTGTGTGCCTGTTCCTCGTCCTTGCTTTCTGATGCTTCTCTGGATCTGCTGGTTTTTCTGCCATGGAAGTAAATCGATGTTTTTACCATAACAAGAGTGAAAGTAGTCGTCTACTTAACAGATAACAGCAGCCAAACAACGAGAAGATTCAACTCAGTGATTTAGTTCTAAATTAACTTTGGAATCTTGATTGGAAATTGTAGAGGGTGACAGTTTGCTCCAGTCTTTCCCGTAATTGTTCAGACCATGCATTTTTCAGTACAGTACAATAACATTTTGACTTGATTTCATTTAATGATTTTCCAGAAAACTCAATAATAGGATTTTATAATATATAAGCTATCATTATCAAAATGATCAGAAATAAGCAATTTCATTTTGTGCGCAATAAATCTGTAATACACATAATTTTCAGTTCTGTATTCGAATTTTCAGTGATATTTTAATTTACTCAGAAGTCACTGTGGATGTTGCTATTCTGAATAGTACAACAAAATTAAAAATTGCTGAATCTTTAGGACTCCCTGAAGCCAGGTCAGTGTCAGCTGACACTACATTTGGACTTACTTGCTGGATGACTCATTCGGCTGTTCCAGTTCTTTTTTTCCACTCTCAGGGGATTCCCCTTCACTGTCTGATGAGCATTCAATGACACTAGTTGAAGCTCTGAAAAATAAATGTGTTCAGTCAGACAATTGTTAAATAAAGAACAAAAAGCAGATATGTTGGGATAAAATGTAAAAGCAGCAACAAACAGAGAAAGATGGAGGTAAACTAACCTGCTCACTGTATTGCTGCCCCGCCTGGGAAGCTTTCTTTTGGGCCTTGAATGTTGTATGTCTGAATCTGAGCACTGAAGGCCGTTCAGCTCTTTATTTGATGCAGACGGCATCTGTGGAGAGTCCGTTGTCCTCGTCTCAATGTCCAGCTCATCAGCAGCTGTAGTGCACTGAGAGCTCGGCTGGCTGTCCGGCTCGACCACAAACCGGGCCACCGTGTAGAGAGTCTTTGAGAGGGACCCCGCTACCGCTTGACGCTCTGCGCCTGTCTGTGTCATTTGGTCAGCTGGGGAAGCTTCCATAGGGCTGACTGACTTTCTCTGAAACAGGGCTTCTTGCTCTGAGCTCTGAGTAGCGCCTTGAATAGAATCCATGCGTTTCTCCAGGCAGAGGCACACTCTTTTCTGAGATTCTTCCTCCACTTCTTGCTCCAAGTCAGAAAATGTTTTTTCGTCTAAGCACTGAGCCAGGGCTTTGTAGGCTGCTTCGAGTTTGCTCTTCTGGATGAATGGACACCTTCTGAAAGGTGTAAGAGAGACCCCCGCCCAAAAAAAAACAGAACTACTGAGAAGTTTTAAAACCACACAACACGATTCCTAAAAAAGTTCTGAAATCTAATAGAATATCGAATTTAGAGAATAGACTAAATATGGAAATGGCAAAACTCAGACATTACAGAAGAATGCACAAACAGATGGATGGATGGATGGATGGATGGATGGATGGATGGATGGATGGATGGATGGATGGATGGATGGATGGATGGATGGATGGATGGATGGATGGATGGATGGATGGATGGATGGATGGATGGATGATGGATGGATGGATGGATGGGATGGATGGATGGATGGATGGATGGATGGATGGATGGATGGAAGTAAAGACAGACAATAGAACAGATAGACAAAGGCAAATGAATGGACAGATGAATGCGCAATATCTAAAAAACAAAAAAGCTCCTTTTAGAAATCTAGATTTTTATCATGTTGACAATAAGATATGGAATAAAATTTATAGAAAATATAGATAACATCATTTTCTAATTTCACATCTTTCCGGTGTCTAAAAAAAATTTCCAGTCAAATTAAATTCCATATTGTTAAAGTCTTTTAATGAGTGCAGTAACTGCATAAAAAAAATGTAAAATCACAGAGGTCATTATAAAGATTTTAGAACCTAAAAAGAGATGAAACTGTGCTTACCTTGATCTGAACTGAAAGTTGTTTACTTGTGGGCTGGTTGTCGGACTGGCTTCATCTTGCTCGTCGCTCCTCACTGCTTCATCATGTTGAACTTCAATTCGTGACTCAACAAGGCTCAATGCAGCCTGTTAAGCACACACACATTTATATCACCATCTTCAAAACAAAAAGTCCAAGAGGTGGTGTCTTAAACTCAATTTTCAGTGTGCAAACCTTCTGAAGAAAAGGGACAGTAAAAGGGCAGAGCTTCTGGCAAAAATGCAGCATCTCCTTCCTAAACTGTGGGAAGTTCATTTCGTCGATGACTTTGTGTTTGTTACACTTCTGACAGATGAGTCTCAAGAATGTGGCCCTCTACGGAGAATCAGATGTTGACAAGCAAAAGATCAGTTGAAAACTGCTTAAATTTGTATCCAAGGAAGGTAACAATTGTCTGTTCACAATAGTCAGGAAATTCATGTTTTCTAGACGTTTTCTCTACAATCTCAAACATTTACTGAATGAACTGAAAAATGCTTGCAAATTTACTGCTTCCCTTCAATCACTGAATGAATATTTAGTTTCTCAACCACAAGTTATGTCAAGAAATATTCCAACCCAGGGGAAGTGAATGATTGTTCACAATTCATTTGTTTGCATTGTTTGATTTTTTTTGCCTCAGACGCAGCAGAAACACCATATAACCTACAATATTAGTTTAGAAGTTGCAGAAGGGGAGCATGGGAGATTGATTAGGTGGACTTACCTTGTTGTTGCCTGGACTGGGAAAGTACAAAGTGAGGGCAGCTTTTGCCTTATCAAACACCTCATTCTTTATGAAAATCCCCAGGATCTAAAAAAAATTAAAACAAATAATTTGCTAGATCAAAACGGCCTTTCCAGGATTTCTCCATGTTTTTACTTTAGAGAAATGATCAGCACATTTCTTCATCAACAATATATAGTTGTATTTATCTACTACAACAAGTAGAAGTACTATTGCTGGTAAAATCTTAGGTTGGATGATTTGCCAGACTTATCAATTACAACTGCTGTAACCTCTGACTTTGCAAAAATTCATTTTTGGTGTCTTTGAGTTACAAAGTATAAAAACTAAACCAGAGTACTAACAAGTTCATACATAAAAAAATAATAAAATACATCACCTACCATCTCTTTAAGTAATGTGGCTACATAGTCGAAATCAGCTTGAGGAATTTGGAAATTTGCCTTCATACTTTCCAGCAAGTTTAGGGCCGATTCCAGTGGAGTTTTGGACTGATCGGGTTCAAACCACGAATCTGAGGGACAGAATTAACAATAACTGCAAGGCTCGGTCACCATAACCTCAGGACTGAAAGTGGGACAAATGGAATGAAATGAAAGACAAGATCAAGTAATATTTTAGGATTAAAAGCATTTTCCCAGACTTAACCAAGCAAAACTTTGAGAATATCACAAGTTGTTCTTAATATTTCACTTAAAATGAATGTAATTGTGTTAACACCATGGACACAGTAACTCACCAAGTTTTTCTCCTTCGTTTATGCGAGACAGGAACTGCAACAATCTGATCTTCAAGGGCATGTCATCAACAGATTCAATGGGACGTTCAAGGACATCTAAGGAGATCAGAAATTATACACTCAGTAATCCTTCTCATACTCTTCGGGATTTTTAAAATATTAATTTAAAGTTCATTTGATGCAAATTATGGAGCAGTTTCATATTATTATCACATAAAAGCTCAAGCTCATAAATATGGCTAAATGGTAACGTATTACCATTTCAGTGCTGAAATAAACGGGTTAGAGTTGGCTCAACACCTTATCATTTGGAAATTTACAAACATGAGGAAACTCTGAAAAGATAAAAAACAAAAGTCTGCAATAGCAGAAAACCAGTAAAAAGCAACGCAAAATAAAACAAGTATTTCATATAATTTTTCTATTTGTTTCATATCGCTCTTATTGCGAGCTGCTTTCTGAATTCAGAGTATGAATCCAGTTGGTTTACATTTCAGTTTGCAATGCTAGAGAATGTGAAACTGTCCTACGCCATTAAGCGCAAAGATAATAACATTTGATGTAGTTAATCAACAGCCAGCTGTTACACTTTGTTGAAGCTAAAGTTGCTACAGGAAGACATAAGAGGCTAGGCAAGTTTAAGCTAGTTTAGAACAGCAGAGGGTGCTTACCGTCCAGCACGTCTCTAATAGCACAAAAATCCGCATATTGTTGGTTCTTGAAGAACTCCACCGTCAGAGAAAAGTAATATTCCACCAGCCAGCGGTTAACAACCTTCTCTACTTGTACTTGATCGATGTTTACTCTTTCTGTAGCGTCCATGTTCGCGCTTACTCCTCTTCTTCTTCCGGTTTAATGGCAGTTGGTCAAGTGATATCCGGCGCTATAGCGCCTCCTCAGAGCGTTATGTGAACTGCTGCGAATAATCAAGCCCCTTTTTTTGACACGCCCTCGACAGGGAAGGGCGCTGAATGATTTATTTTATTCATTTTATATATATATATATTCAATTATTTTACAAAAATATACAAGCTGTGTTGTATTTACATTATAGTTAAATATTCGGATTTTCTCAATGCCTGCAGTCCCTATTTAAAAGCAGTTACATTTCAGTAATCTTGGATATTAACTTTTATTGAATTCCCAAACAAAACCAGTTTCCCTGATCATAGAAGTTTTCAAGAAAATCTAAATCAAATAAATACTTTACACACACAGTAAGTGTTTGATTTTTTTTTTTAGAAATAAACCAGTGAGTGTGGTAACTAAGGGTTGCACAACATATCGATTCAATAAGTAAAACCGAGCTTAGATCATTGTTTATTTCCGTCTTCTTGCCACTTTTGAGTTTCAGAAGGGAGAGGAAGTTGACCATGTGGTATTTGTTCAGCAGTGATAATTATGCAGCACAGGATTACAGAGTGTTAACCAAAGCAGAGAATGTAGGTGGTGTCACTTTCAGTGTCAAAAGTGTAGCTAAATATATACAATATTGGTAAATATAAGTTATTGGCCTTGACAATAGTAATAATGGGCCGATTTTTATATCTGTGCATTCCCTATACATGATCACTTTTCTTTTAAAAAACAAAAACAGTCACAGTTCAGAGCACAAATTATTTTATTCAAGTTTATTATGGAAAAAAATGACATTAAGGATGACATTAAGGATGACAAAAAAATTGAGACAATTTAAATAAAAATAAAACTCAACAATCAGTTTATATTGTTAATAATTACTTTTATGCTTTGTCTATAAAGCTGAAGGATTTTTGTTCTTAAAGACATATTCCCTGTAGCCAGAGAACCCAATCTCCCATAACTGTTTATGGTGGAATTATAAATATGTATTAAAACATCCATCCCGCTATTGTACATGACAACAAGTCTCTGCATTCAAAAAAATTCAGTTTTAACTTTAATCTGCATCCTCGGTGGAAAACCCTCTTTGAGAGCTTAGTGTTGCACAGATGGGTTTGCACTATGTCCAACCACCATCCACAGTCAAGTAACACACAAAAACCTCATTTAAAATGACATTATCCAGAATTATCGGAGCATGAAAACTCAGCCATATGTTAATATGTTAACTCTTGATTAGCTGATAGCCCTGATTGGCCTCTACTGTTTCTAACACTTTGTATTGATTAGTGACACAGTACCTTTTTGCTTCTGAATGTCCATTAGCAACGATTGTTGCTTGATTAGCATTCTTATTTGTGCACCCATCAAATAATACAGCACATTTCCTGATTTTTGTCAAACCTCTACCAATCTACGCTTTTTTTTCGCTTTATTAATTTTTACTAAGCATACTGTTTGAACATTTCTGGATATAAACAAGTAGCATACCAACATTATGCCGTGATCGTCCTAAAGAGCAGCTAAATACACGGAGAAAAGAGAGGCCAGCATAAGGAAAGTCCCCTGAAGTCACTGTGTGCTCAGTGTTCTGTCCCCTGCTCCTAACGTAGGTAGCTTTTACATTCTTATGACAGCGTTTTTCTAAAAACAAAACATTAAAAAAATAAAATCATTATGTCCTCGGAGGTTTTAATATATGTAAACAGGTGAGATTTTTCTTTACTGACCACCACAGATGAGAACAGACAGCAGTATATAATAACAACTAAAGGTATGAGACTTAAAAGATTTAATTTGACAATACTTGAGCACCACCAGCTTTTTAGACAATATTTAACTATAAATTCAGGAAGCATTAGCCTCAAGTGCATAGAGGCTGTTCACTCCTGCAATAGGGTAATGTGAAGGTGGGCATCTTCATAAACATGATAGATCATTTTAACAGCTTTAGTGCTCTGATACACTCCTGCTCTGCTGACAGATATTGCAGGGGTTAAAATTTGAAGTGGAAAAAAAAAGGCATTGAAAGAATCTGTTGAGCTCCTCAAGTGATGGTTCACCATGAAAGATTGTGTAATGAAATTTTAAAAAAAGCTTGGTTTTGTCACCCAATAATGTTGTGCTAGTTTTTCAGAAGAACTGTTTAACTAAAAAAGCACCACGCAGTTGCCAAGCAGCATGCAAAGCAGCCATGTCTCAGACTTGGCTCCGTCTTGAACAGCTTGAGTGGTTGTTTTCAGTGCATGAATGCAATGTAATCTCATTATCGTTCTTGTATAATCCTAACAGACAGAATATTCTCTGTCAGTTCACAGCACAAAGAAAAAAATTCACAAAAAGGAAAACAATTCAGACTTGGTAACGTTCAACCCAGGGCCTGAATTGTTTTGTAATGAAAATACAGGGAGGGATATCAGTGATCTGACCATTTGTTTCAGAAACGCTCAAGAGACGTTAAGCAGCATGTAGGCAGGGATGAATGGCAAATCTATAGACATGGAAAATGACTTTCTAATCCAAACGTGAGACCAGCAGGAGTCATCTCCTGTGAATAGTCACGGTTAGCTGGAGAGGAGTGGCCATGGTGATAAGGCGTCAGCAGTCACTCAAAAATGGGATATTTCTACAGGCTCCTGTAAGCAAACACTCAAAAAAAAAAAAATTCCGCTCAGAGAAAAACTACAAGATGAAGAGGACGACTTGAGGAGAAAAGCCATTTGGTCCTCTTGACTAAAAATAAGGCTTGAGTTCACCATGGCCTGTTTCTGTAAAAGGCAGCCATTTCCAGGCTGACTGATTGGTTTGTTGTACATGCATGTTGGAGCACACAGTTCAATCACTGCTGTTCGTTGTGCTCTACACACCAGGCTGTTTTAAACAATGTAGTGCATTTTCTGGACTATGAGTCCCATGCCTGGCTCCAGATGAGTACTGAGCTTTGCTCCCCTTGAGATCCTTTCGCCTTCTTCCAGAAACAATAAAACATACTCTGTCACATCCCTTATGACGAAGATGCTTGATCTAAGTCACATTTTCGCATCTCAAACATTATTTTTCATTGTGAGGAATAAAAACCTCGTGTTCTGTTCGTGCTTTTCTAGAATCCATTGGGAGCACAAGTGCAGAACAACACAAATAGTGTTGGGTGTTAAACAGCCCGTGGGAGTCAAGAGTTGTGATGCTCCAGGGTCCTCCTGTAGCAGCCTGTGTCACCCCCTCCGTAGGCGCATCCTCTGGATGAAAAGGTCCATCTCAGCACCTACAAGGTGGGCTAACAAAAAATCCGGCTATAGACAGCTAATGTGTGAGCTCCATCACTGCCCAGGTTGTCAGACAGAGAACTCGGAGCCACCACGGCGACCCTGGGTCACCACCAACAGACGGCGTAGACGCAGGCCTGTGAATGGGTTGCACCACAGCAGGGACGGCGGACCCCCAAAAACAGATTTCATTCCGTCCCATCTCATATGACGCTCCCATGTTGGCTTCTCGTTTTTAAGACGTTCAATCTCCTGGAAGACATTGAAATCAGTTCAGAAAAACTCAAATTGTGTGACTTTTGAAAATGATCTCAAGTGAATTTGTAACATTTCTGTTACCTTAACAAAACCTCAGTAGCTTAATGGAAACCTGACCTACTTATCTTTTACTCATCTAGAGGTTCAGTTCATTTATTTATACCTGTTTACCTGCATCTAGAACTGAATAATAAATACAACCTGAAATCAGTTATTCTCACTTGAGAACCTAAAAACAAAACTTGTTTTGTATTTGTGTGCATCAGTTTAGCATATAAGCTACTCTAACTTTCTACACCAAACATCTACTATACAGCAGCTATATTTATTATTCTACATCACAAATTTTACAGACTTATAAAAAGCAAGTGTAATATATTCAATTAAAGCTTCATCCAGACTTCCTACCAGTCTGTATAATTATGCATATGTGCATAATATACTAATAGTTTGGTCAACCTTTCAGCTTTATGCCCACCCATCTTGGAAATCACAAATTCTAAACCGAGAGCAGTAAACGGTGACAGAGTTTGCGTGGATACTGACCGTCTCATCATTGCAGATGGAGTGAATCTGTGTGCCAAACATCACAGCTGTAAAAGTGAGGAAGAGGATGGCTTCAAGACAGAGGAAGATCAGCAACAAGACCGACACCCCTGGTGAGAAATTACTGCACTCTGACCAGGAAAAAGAAAAACAACAAATCAGAGGTTTGTACAGATTAGAGAAGCGACTGAAACAAGTTTCAAATTAACATTTTTCCTTTGCTTAAAGGAGGTTGTGTAAATCTGAATAGCAAGAAGACACAATCTCGTAAAGCACTGGGCGCTGGTAATCTACTGACAGATGTAGAAAAACCCACGCAGGAATCTTGTCAGTTCCAGAGACTGTTTACAAAGCAAAAGAAAAGCATTTCTTCATAGCCAAGAGATGCAGTGTAATTTGAATTAATACTAAAAAAATTAGCTGATTCATTTCTGAAGACCACAGTGAAGTATAAAGAGCAATAACAAGTGAATGAGGATTGTGAGAAACAATTCTGGTGATCTCTGAGCAGAAGCTGGTGAAGGTAAACCTTCATTATCTCTGATCTCTGCATCTCCACTTGTGTGTTTTAAGATGCAATTCTAAATTCTCTTCACATTTTGAAGCATCTTTTAATGGAAACTTATCTTACAAGTTCTTACCGTTCCACTGCACTTTAATACATGTGAAGAAATGCATCCCACTGAGGCCCAGGGCATGGGCGGAAATCAAGGCTATGTACATCTGTGGAGCAAAATAAGTGGAAAAAGAAACGAAAACATAAAATTTCCACATGAAAAAATAAGACACACAAAGTTCCTGTTTTACAGCTTCATTTTCTATCAATAAAGGGCGAATGGCAGGGGGAGCTGCAACGCCCAGCCATATATGGCAGCTTTATTTTTCTGTCTTCAGAATAATCCAGTCAGCGTTGGAAGCCATAAAAAGTGCTGATCTTATCAATGGAGCCCCAGGTGGCAGCGAGTGCACATTTAATGTGGGTCTGCTCCTGCTCTACACGACAGCACAGAGCTCTGAACATCAGCTAATGTACTCCATGTACTCCACAAGATAAGCACAGTATTACAAATGTTATGAACTCAGACAATTTTAAACAACCTAATCATATTTAGAAATTAAAAAACAAAACAAGCAACATGCACACTTTACTACAGTAGTGATAACATTTCAAAAGAGCCGGCGATCTGTGCCACACCCAAGAGCCAAGATTCACCACTTCCTTCCTAACGTCTGTGTACTCACAGTAAAAAGAACGAAGAATCTCTGATTCTTTTCTCCCACGCAGTTATTGACCCAGGGACAGTGATGATCCATCTTCCGGATGCATCGTTTACAAATGCTGCAGGGAGGAGACACAGGTTAGTTTGTGAAAACTATATACTATATATTCATAAACACAGCTTTAATAAATATCCATATTGTTGAGTTGTCTTCTGTTTATTAATTTCAACATACGAAAGAGTTTGTATGTGTGAGTAGCATTAGACTAACTGATGCAGCTGAAAGCTTGTTTTAAATTTGCAGTCTTTAAAAAAAACTGTTGACTACACTGAAATTCTGCTGCAGTTTGAGTGCTGTCAAACATAAGTGAGTGTTTTTTTAAGCATTAGAGCTTCAAAACATCCCATAGCAGAAGAAAGGATAAACAGCTTTTCAAAAGTTGCCGCTGTGTCACACTGACCTGCAGTGGTGTGCTCTTTCAGGTTTGATGCTGCAACACTTTGGACACTTGTAGATGACTTCTCCAGGCTTCAGCTGCAGGCTCTCCATGTACTCCTTGGTTGCATTACCCTTAGGAACTGCACCCTAAAGGGTGGCACAGGCAGCAAGACAACTGTCTGCAGTTGATGCATAATTTTATTAAATTACATTGTGATTTTATGTCCCTATTAAAACTGGTACAAGTAAAAGAGAGCAAGTCTAACTCTTATTAGCATCTGTTCACTGGCTACCCATATATCAGATCATATCCCTCTGGGAAGCAGCTGAAAGTGTCAAAGGATTCCTGGTCCCTTGAGGTTGAAACTGCTTTATAACTTCAACTGTTAAATTTAACTCCTTAAACTCATCTTTTCTTTCTGGCCTTTGACCCAGTACAACCATAAACTATGCTATTTTTTTCTCCTTATTCTAATAGTTCACTTGTTTTTATTCCTGTTTTTACTTTTTTTTTTTTTTTCTGGGCTGTGCTTCTTCTTTAAAGGAATTGTGCAGGAATTTATATTTAGTTTGGAGAGAAATTAATGTTCTACAAATACCAAACATAGTAAATTTAAAAAAGCACCATCAGTCATGAAATTAATGTAGTTGTATTAAATTAACTGTCTGACTGGAAAATGTTAAAAACTCATTTGGAAATGAAGTGACAACTCCTCATTTATCAGCCAGGTGAAAATGTGAACTCTGATGTTGAATTACATTAAAGCGCTGATACTCAGTCTTGGTTAAATGAGCTACTCTCCAGAGTCTATGCACAGAACATCCGACAGCCAACGACTTCCTGCTCGTCCCACATTATATCAGTAAATGACTGGCTCTGTATTTAAACTCTTCTCTGATTGCAAAAACCTCAATAAATGTACGTATCTTCCTTTGTATCTATAGTAATACGCTATTTGAAACTCCTTTCTTCACTCCACTTTGCATCTAAGTGTTTAATACATCTAATATCTTCCCATTGTACTGAGTGTGACAGTCCTTACTGGGTCAGTCAACATGGTGCGCAGGTGTGACGCCAACGCGAGCACAGCCAGCGAGTTGAAGGTGGCCCCATTCAGCAGAGAGTACCAGAAGTTCTTGGCAGGCAGAAGCATGACAAAGTTCACCACAAACTCTGCATACAGGACCAGAAACCAGGTCATGGTGGCGCACACCATGCCGCAGCTGTCCTGAATGAACCAGACCGTGCGGTTCCCTGCCGAGTGCCCTGCGTTTGGACCTCCGACCATCACCCCGGCTGCCAGGCTGCCCGCCTCTACGTCTACGCCGGCGGCCAGCAGCGGGTGGTGCTGCTCCATGTCTCGTAGTCGGTGGTTTGAAGACTGCATCGTGCCCTGTGGAAGAAACAAAAACTGACTTCAGTCGTCTGGCTTAATTTTGACAAACTACTAACATAAAGGATGTAATTAAAACAGAGATAAAACAACTTAAGTGAAAGACATCTTTAGAAATGGACTGCTGTCTGCTATCATTTTTATTTTACACCTTTAGGAAATGCTTAAAGTATGGTCACTGGTTCTCAGTTTGGCTTGCAGTTCCTCCTGTCAGAAGCCTGAGTCACCAAAGCTTTTAACTTTAGTTTTCAAGTCAAGGTCAGCGGGTAACATTCAGTAGAAACAGGAAGACAAAGTCCACAGCTTCAAGATCAATGAATGGCCACCCAAGTCTCTTTGGAAAACTGATCCAAAGGCTGCAGTTCATATGGGCTAATAATAATCTGCTGCTGCTGCCAGGCCTGATTGTTATTGACCCAGAGAACTGAATAAAACAGAGTTTCAGGTTTTTCAATAGTAAAAGCAAAATGCAATTTACTTAGAGGTAATTTCTAAAAGCATCCACCTGATGTTTTATCTGAATCAAAACATCACTGGAACTCAAACAGCAAAAAAATAAGGGAAAAAAATCCAATAGTGTCAATTTCTACAAAAAAACAACCCCAACAATATTTAATGTGCCTTTAAAAGATTCATGACTCTCGCATCTCCTTTAAATTGCAAATCTTCAGCAACAATCCAGATGGATCAATCGAGGTTGTAAATATTTTATTCACACAAGCATGTGCCACAACTGGAAAGAATGAAGACCAAATAATGACTGTTTTAATATTAGAAATAATAGAGTAAACCAATCCCAAAATTCAGAACAGATTGACACGTGTTTCTCTTCACTAACCTTCAAAACACATATGTTGCTGCTGCTACATACACTGACATTGATTCTATTTTTTCATTGTTTTAATTTCACTCTTTATCAAAAATATGAGAACATGTCTGGGAAGCGATCAAGAGTTTGAAATCATAATAGAACCGTCAATATTTTTAGACGCGGTAGTAAAACTCGGCTCAGGTTTTAAAAGTCTGACATCATCGTTTACACAAAGGGAAACCAATCTGCACAACTCGTCTGCAGATGTCGGGATTTGTTGATGTTTAAAGGAACTGAAAAGAGATATGAGCTACACAATGTTTTGGAATATGAGCAAAACTAGCACTTCGGTAAAAAACAACAGGGAAGAAATATTTTATTATTCTCCAATAAAAAAAAAAATATTGAACCTAACTCGTAAAAAACGTTACATCTTAAACTTAAAATTACCCAAATATAATGCATAGGAGCAGTGGAAATTATCAATAAACCAGTAGAACTACTTTTTCTCAATTAGCCAACCACCAAATTTCAGGGAAATGCAGCATGTCATTTCCCTCTAATAAAAATGTTATTTTTATTAGAGATAATTTAGGTAACTGTCCAAAGTTGTGGTAGAAAAAACTAATTTAAGTTGTAAGCAACTTCTTGTTTGGTGAACTGGTACATTCAGATGTGGAGGCATTTCTCTAAAGTAAATGAGATGTTTCCAGTGACATGGCAGGTGCAGTCCTGTCAACCTTTAGCTAGCAGATGTTTGTTTTCCTTGTCATCCACTCACTTCTTCTGCAAAATGAAAAACAAGACTTAAAGATTTTTGTTCTGCTTCCCTAACACCTGACTGTGGGTGTTCTCTTCGTGAGACCAGTTTTACTGCATCAGACCCCACCCTTTATTTCAAAATAACCTGTAATTAATATAATTTATAAATATTTCTGTTGAATGAGGAACAACGGGAATGAATGTTTAGGGATTTTTCTTTTCAGATGAGTAACTAATGTGAGATGCATATTTTACACTGAAGCTTAAGACTTCCCATAAAACAAAATTAGTATTTTGCTTATAAATAAGTAATAGGAAAAAAATGGCCAGTTGACAAACTACAACAAATTCCTTCTTACTGTCTACATATGAATCAGAAGATATTTTAAGCAGCACAACAGTATTGATTTTCTTGAGGTGAAGTCAAGAAGGATCAATTAAGAAGGATCCCACTAAATGATTGTCCAGCTGACTGGCCAGCAGAGTCTCAGGGAAAAATATTTGTCTCTCTCATATTTTCTTTACACACCCAGCAAGTGTCATCTGGCCAAAACCACCTTGCAAAACAGATCACTGCTGTCAGCACATCTAATATGTTTATAACACATTTTCATTAAACATCAGTCCACATGGAAATCAACACCAAGAAAAAACAACAATAATAATTGTGATTTATTCTGCCGGTGGTTTCTTCCTGTTAAAAGGGAGTTGTTCCTTTCCACTGTTGCCATTTGCTTGCTTAGGAGAAGCAGCTGGGCTTTATTGGAGAACTGCTCATCATCCGGCATCATGAAGCGATTTTCACTGCACTTTTACAGAAGGAGAGTTGAACTGAAATGTCTGTAACAGAGCTGTCTTTAGGAATCGATCGTGCATTGGATTCGGTTGTCTTTTCCAGTCTCTTGAGATTTTGTTTGTTGTAAATTGATACTTTATAAATAAACTTAAAGTAATCATATATTGATACCTTAACTTGATCCAGCTACATGCAAAATTATAAAGCAAGCAAAAAATGCACTCTTGCTGAAGTCCAAGAAACAATAAAAACATATTTTCCAGAGACTATTGTCCAAGTAAAATTCCCTTTATTCTGATACAAACAGAGGCTGATTTTTAAGTCACATCAAAATAATCAAATATTTAAGTATTGAAGATGCACCAATTAAATTAGCGGGTTTCCTGATTTCTTATTGATAATCAGTAATTCAAACATTAAAAAATCTCAGTAATTAAAAATGTTTTTCTTTAAACTCATACATAAATAGAATTAACCTTGATATTACTTTATTTTCAATTTTTGCTACAATAAACACATTTTGCTTAAGTGCAAAATGAGGATACTTGTGACACCATCAATTTAAAGTAATGGTTTCTTAATGAAAACACCTGCAGCAACTTTTTTTTGTTATTGTATAGCCTTAAGAAAAACAGGAATGATAAAAATTGGAATCAACAGGTGAGACCAAAGGCAAAATTTATTAAGAAAATAATATTTTTCTTTCTCACTGTATCATGTATCTCCCCATGTTTTAATTTTTCTAAGCCACACTTAACAGAAAGAAATGCAAGTTCCCCACCTTTTAAATAAGACAAAAAGAGCTAATATATATGAGATGGTTTTAAGGAATGTGAGAATATCAATTTCAACAGACCTGATATTACTGAGCTTTACAACAACATGCTGTGGTGTGCTGAGCACCATTAAGGAAGAAGCACATGTGCAGAGACGGGAGTGTTGGCTGAGACCTGAAAAGAACGGAGAATGAAAAATGTGTCATTGCAGAGCAAACCTTCAAAAAGTTGAAGATTTACTGTAAAAATACTAGTTGAAGCGCAACACCAACGTGTATGTCAGCATTTTTTCTATTACTAAATACTTCTAAATATGTCAGTAAATCTTAGAAAGGACATACCACAAACTACACCAATATTAAAAGTTGTACTGAAGGAAGAAATCAGCTCAAGCTTTCATTTTAGATCTCCACTATTTACAGAAATCTGACTTCCTCTCTGCATGTCATGCAGGATTTGCCAGCTACTCAGGAAACACGCCCATCATTTTTGGTATTAAGGTGACACGGCATTTGTTCTTCTTTTTTCCAATCAGTGTGCTCAGGTTTTTACAGACCTTGCCAAAGGTTTGGTCTAATTCTCTCCTTATTTTTCATTGTCAGTCAAATCAACCTTTGTAATAATAAACCAAGAAGCCAGATAGCCTGAGTTGTCCACTCACCACCTTCAGTTTTATTATCTGACGTCGGTGAGGCAAAGGTATGAGCAATGTTCAATAAACCATACGCAGAATCTGCATTTCTCCCTTCCTGTTAAGAGTTAATAAAAACTGAAAGTCCTCTATCAGACGCGCTAAGCCCAGACGTGTCCATCTGCCCCGATATCCCTCATCAAACCGAGCTGGCTGCTGGACCTCGCTGGCTAACTAGCCGCTGAAAGAAGCTAACAAACGATAGCATGCTAGCTGTGTATGCAAATACCTCAGCACTGTCAGCTGGATTACATACCTTTGTCGACTTTACCGCATACGCGAGGAACTCCTTATCGGTATATTTCTATTTCCATTTATATTAAACCCGCAGCCAACACGGTGGAGCATCGGCAGATTGAGCACATCGCTCAAACAACAGGCTGACAGTGACCAGTAACGACGAAGCTTCCGGGGCTTCGCTTCGGCTTTTCCCGCTGTCATTCGCAACTCTCCGGCGAATGATGTAGTTCCAAATAGCGCCACCCTGTGCTCAGAGGCATAAGTGAAATACGAAAGTGCATTAATATCAAACGTCCACTGATGGGCGCTATTGGACAGATTTCGTAACATTTTTGCCAGACAAAAACAAACAAACAAACAAACAAACGTCAATATAAAATGCTGAACTGAAGTAAAGACTAAGTAAGCGATCATAAAAAGTCATTTGTTTCTTCATATATGGCAGTATACATAAAAACAGAGTTCAAAGACAAAAGATGTACGACACCAGATTTTAGCTTTTTCCCTGCTAATTTTCTTTTAAGTCCCAGGGACAGGAAAAATTGATTAATTGATAAAATAAAAATAAACAAACAAACAACAAAAAAACAAACAAAGAAATAAAAACCTAAACTGCAGTGAAGCTAATTTGTTTCATATCTTTTCCCATAAACTTCAGAATGAACATGTGGTATATTCCAAAGTCATTTATTCGATGGAGCCAACCTTAAGCACATACATACATACGTACAGTTAACCTCTTGAATTGTTGTTCTTAAACACGTTGCATAAAAAAATCATACCATTGTTTCTTATTTTGCTTTTTGTTTCGATTCTCCAGCCTTGCTGGAACCAAGCTGACTACGTTCTGGAGATGCTGCTTCTCACGATTAGTTTAACTTGTAGAACGTATGAAAGTATTCATGAGGAATTCAACAAAGCAGAAAACAGTTTCCGTCCTGTTTGCTGCAAGACTAAAACATTAATGCCATCCACTTTTCCAGTGCTCTTCTGTATTGTTGGATATGCACCAAGAATGCCACTGCAAAACAGAAAATTCTGATTTGGTGAAATGTGTGGATTGACCCCAACAAAGTCTTTAATCGGCTGAGGACAGATACCTATAAAGCTTCCCCAAAGGGGGGAGCAGCTCCTCTTTTCATGTGTCTCCAGGGAGCAGATAATAAAACCAACACAAAGCAGCTTGGACTCTTTCTTCTCTGAGTCTGCAGCTCCACATTGAGCGTTCAGAGCCTCCTGCCCTCTCCTGTTCTGGTTCAGAGCCGGTATCAGCTGTCTATTTTAGAGGGAGCAAGAGAAAAAATACCCAGCAATCCCCTAAAGCAGCTTAAAGGCTGAATCAGGGGACTGAAGCCTTTTCCATTTTCAGAGTTGCTTCTCTCTCCATCATGGCTAGATGAGCATCTGAGTGACGGCCAAAGCAGCCGCCGCAGTGGCTACATGCAAACTACCCCTGCTGCACACTCTCTGAGGCTCTTCAAGTCCAGGTTCCTGAAAAAACATCTAGGGGATGTCAGAAGAGCAGCATTAGAACCAATGAAGACATGTACAATAAAAGCCTTAATTCATTTTAACTCTGATAATCCAGAGGTTTGTCTGTGATTCAATAATAAATGCTGAGTGCTGATGTGTGACACAGAGTCTGGAAGCTCTGGGTTTTGGTGCACTTCTTTCCGCCCTTTGTTGACACGCAGGCTTTTGGAGGGAAATGAAGTGAAACAAAGTGGAGTGGAGTGCAGAGGTTTTAAGTGACTGTGTGACGTCAGACTGTCTGCTTGCAAATGTGTGGGCTTGTGTTTGTGTTGCAAGAATAAAATGGGAAAGCTGGATGCAAGGCTTGGACGCATCAGAGAGAAGAGAGGAGAGGAACAGATGAGAGCAGACAAAGGAAAAGAAGAAAGAAAACAATGCCAAAGAAAGAAGAAGCTAAAATAAAGAACCAAGTGTAATTGCACTATATTGACAAAGTGAAAGATATGAGAGAATTAAAAATGGAAAAACTTTATATCGGAAAGATGGAAACAATGCAGAGAACACACAGTTACACTGAAAATATTCACAGGAAATTTATTACCTTCTATAAAAAAAAAAAAGAAAAGAAAATGATTTGCAGCAAATGTTTTAAATTATGAACAGTCCTGCCCTCCCTGGCTAACCTGACTGGAACAATATGTCTCTGCATGGTTTCATATTCCAAATATATTTTCCTTTTTCTGAGCCATAAGTTGACTAAAACATTTGTTTTAAATGCTTTCTGCAGGGCTGATGTCTGATGTCTGGAGTTCTCCCCAGACATTTCCAACCTTTCTGTTTTTTTTTTGTTTTTTTTATTTAATCTTAAACAGAAATATTCAGATGTCTGCTTCTTTTACTTATGGTAGATATAAGCATCCAACCACCCCTGCTAAAATGACAAGATTTTGCAACATCAAAACACAAAACAAGACAAGACAACAACAAAAAAAAAGATATTTTATAACTTTTTCACTTGTACAAAATACATTATTAAACAAAAATAACCAAATATATTCCAGCTACATTCTGAGTATTTGCTATTATCATTGCCTCTGAAGCTAATTACTGTAGGACAGTTTTCTGACACAAAGGCTCAGTTTTTACTGTGACATGCACCATCAACAGCAAGAGTTTTCTGAGTGAAACAGAACTGTTTCACATGATTTTTTTTACTTTTAGTTTCACGCTCACTCAATTCTAAGTAAACTGTATAGGTATAAAAGAACCAATGATCTGTGAAATCCCTTCGAGAAGCAATAAAATGCCTCAGCATCACTTTGCAGTTAGTTTACCTACAATCTGCAGCATAAATTAACAAAATGGTTTTTTAAATATCTATAAAATTCAGCAAATAAGATGAATGTGAATGATATCTGACTGACTTTTTTTGTATCATAACAAAACATTTCACGTAAAGCTCATATGTATGGAGCTCCAGATGGTACTATAAGTTCAATCGCCTTGTGACCTGCTTCTTTCAAAAGTTTTAATTCTGCTAATGCACATCTTTGCCTCACTGATCTCACACAGATCGGACTCGTGGCTCTCAAATATCAAAGACACATGTTCATATCTCAGACTCTTCTTCCCTCAAACATAAATGGGAGAGCAGAGGCTTTTACACCCAGGCGAATAAAACCACAAAGCATTTTAGTGGGGATTTTCTGAGGGCAATTGATTAACTTTTTTTTACAGGTGAACGAGCACAGGAGACAGGTCCGCAGACATCACGCCCTGCTGACCAGAGGAGCTTCTTCTTTGCGCGGCCGCGGCATCCAAATGGATTAATAAAAAGTCAACGATAGCTACACTGTTGTCAGTTATAACCAATACAAAGCTCCTAAACTATGCTGCTGTAGTAGTCTTTTAAAAGCTTAGTGAAGGACATGTTTCTAGTGCACTTGTTCAGGCTTTTTATTGCTATTTTTTTGTCATTTGAAAAAGGTACATTGTATCAGGCTGCATTAAGGCTTCAAACATAAGGAGGAAATTAACCAGCAAGTACCTTCTTCACACACAAAGATCACAGGCTAAAAAGTTGAAGTTTTTGCTATGAGGACTTTATTTTTTATTAGAGACTATCATCTAAAACAAAGAACAAAAGACTTGGAATTTGATTGGAGGCTGAGACCAAATAGCTGTTTTCCGTATAATTTTAAATTGCAGCATGCAGAGTAACTGACACAAATGTTAGTAAGCTGCCATTATTTATCTTTTTTTTTTTTTTTTTTTTTTGCTTTTTCACACTTGCCAAACCTCGCCTGGGTTGTCTGCAGCTCACCTCATATGGTTTACCTTGATGGGATGGGATTAGAGCTAAGCTTTGACCCAACAGATGTCATGGATCATTGTGGCTCATCTGAGTTTGGCATAGAAGCCATATTGTGGAACTACTGTAGCACATCAGAAAGGCTTACGCTGTTCAGCTAAATGGTTAAAAAGATGTTCATGCTTTAAAAGCAAGCCTATTAATTATAATTCCTTTTCATGGCGATCCAGGCTTTTGTTTGTCTTGGAGGCTGGACTTCAAATGCTTCAAAGGGAAAAATCCTTTTGTATGTTTGCAAAGCTCAGTGAAAAGATCTGTGGCACTTTGTTGTGTTTCAGTTACGACAAAAGCTCACCATGGAGAGTCGGAACAAGCCAGAGCAGGAAGGCTTACACAGTTAAGGGAAAAGAAAGCACTTCTATTTCTGTTGGTGCCGGTAAAATGCATTGCAAGTTTTTTGTGATTATCAGCACAATCCCTTTGCACCAGTGGTGGGGAAGAGATGGTGATGATGTTTGCAGCTAGTCAGCCTCACAGTCAGTCTTTGAAACTTGTTTTTTTCTCCATGCCTGTAGTTTTCTCAAAGCTAAGTGTAGACTGAAGCGTATCTAACGAGAAATCAGTGCAAGAACTAGCAGCTTCAGGAGAGAAAAGCAGATTTTAAATCATGACTGTATCATTTACTCTTAAACACACTGCAACACACACCCTCCACATCCAGCAATGCATCACTAAGAGCTGCAGCACATTAGTTGCAATCGATACAAATTATATAGTTTTTATAGGCTTTTAAGATGAGCTCAACTTTCCTTTTCATAGAGTTTAATTCCCAGGGTGTTTCGTTCGTTTTAGCTTAGGTAGGTACACTTACTTCTTGTGAGGGTATAATTTTGTATGCAAAACCTATGCATGAGTGTGTCCGCTGACTAAAAAGGACCTTAAAGTGCACAAATCATTAAATGTTAGTGCAAACTGTTGGCTGCAGATGAGAATAAAATCAACAAACTTGTGACTTTTCATAAGTAAATCATTGTCAGTCAACCTGATACCCTCTGCACTAACATCTGTGTGCAGGTAGACATAGGTCTGTATGTCAAGGTTAACTAAAGAGGCCTTCACCTCCGCGAAGGCATGACTCATGGCTCTACACTATGCGGTGAGTACGAGGGCACATAGTAGATGAGATAATCAATAATTCAACAAAGACTTACTTCCTCTGTCTCTGCTCCGCACTCATCCTCTCACTGCTCCATGTTTCTGACTGTCTGAGTCTTTTCTTTTTTCAACTTAGCTTTACAAACAGCTCTCATCTCTGATCTCATCGTTCAACCTGCATGTTATCTTAGGGTTGCTGAATCACTTCAAACAGGCTGGAATGTGCAGTAATTTCAATCTGAGTCCAGTTCATGTGATCTTTAGCTTTCAAGGGATTTCTCTCTCTGTATGAGGAACACGGCAAGTTTTTTTTAATGCTTAAATTAGTTATGCAGAGTGAGACAATCCATTTGCTGATTCCTGTTTTAGGATGTTACAACTTGGTCTGGCCTTCAAGGTTTGATTGGTACAGTTGAGGGCTTTAAGTAACTGTATTTTCACAGCACAGCTGAACTGGAAATAATTATTGCTGCTATGATTCCAGGCAGACGTTTAAGTGCATACATTACTGGCATGAATGTCAGTTTAACTTTGGACATTTTATTACTTGTCTGAACTATTTTATTTACACAGTGAAATAATTATACAACCACATCCATTCAAATGATGATTAAAACTAGAATTTGTTGCAGGGGTTTGAATATATAGTGAACTTTATCAAATACCTGGATATTCATCTGATCAACCAAAACTCAGGATAATGGAAAAGTCATGGGGACTCAGTGAAGACCTAAGAGGGAGGGTTATACAGCTACACAATGTGGGGATTATTTAGATGTGTCACCACCTTGGCAACGTCTAAAAATAGATTCACAATCATCCAAGTCAAAGGAAAGGAAATTGGTTTGTCGTTTTAATTATACCATGGAGTGCAAACCAAGTAGGAGGCAAATGCTCAAAAATGGACGCCTTAATGTTTGACTGAAACTTGCAACTGACCACACGGACAAATGTCTTCTGATTAGATAGACTGATTGTTTTGGTTACATGGACAAAGATATTTAGTTATGATCAGACTTTTAAAACAAAGAACAATATAGCATCATGGCTTTATTTTTTATCTATTTATTTATGCAGAAAGCAACATTTGACTAAAGTGAGAGCAAAAGTTTTACTCCTTGGATTATCAGAAGAGTTGACAAGGTTTTTGAAAAGTCCTGTAATGGATTTACACAGCGGTAGTGAGCAAGCATATTGATGCTTTCAGCACCATTTCCTGCCTAAAACATTGATTCCATAGGAGGAAAAACACAAACCATACACTTGACATTCTCCATTAAAAGATACATTAGTGCGTATTACACTAATAATCCAGGGATTTGCAGAAATGTGCTAATCTGGATTACAGTTTGAACCATTTTAGGGCATCAATCTTGAGACTGCAGACTTTTTTGTTCAGCTTTCAAAGGAACACTTTGCTCCTGGTGTTGTCACGGCATGTCTTCACTGAGCAATGAAATCCCATTTGGCCCCTGAGACACACTTGAAAGTGCTGCAAATCCATTTCAATCGTTGATAAAAATGTGAAAAGAAAAAGGCAGATTGAGGAGAGGAGGAAAGCATGCTTTTGTAACATGCATTGGGTTAAAAATACAGTTTAACGTATTAAAAAAACAAAAACAAAAAATACTTTTATGTTGACACGATGGGTTCCAGCACCGGCTAGAAGAACTGACATATGTGTTGGATTAGAGAAAAAAAAAAAACTTTGCCTGTTTACACTTTTTATAAATTGAATATACATTAATAATGAAATCACAAACATGTGAATTAATAGTTTCTTGGAAGAAAATGATTTAGGGAAAAGCTAAAGACTTTCATCTAGTACTGTACAGGAAAAATCCTTCTTTGTTCAAGCTAAGGCGTGATTAAAACTCCAACGCCCATAGGCAAGACTTGAAGACGTACATTCAGACGATGTTTCAATCCAATCAGCCAGGACAGAAGAAAATCTGGTGAGTAAGGCCTATTAAGCTTTGAGTACTCAGATCTGTGTAATATGCTGCCAAAGGAACAAACTACTTTTAAGCAGGAAAATACGTTACTAAATTCATAATAATCTGAAACTGAACTATTATATTTTGCTAAATCCTTCCTTCCATGACTCTTAACATGAGTATAGTGAAAATGTAAGCGGCACAGGTGTTTAGGGGCTCTCGGGTGTGTTGTTTTTGAATGTATATATGAATTATGTTAATGTCCCAGAGTTGACAGGAGGATGGGTTCTATGGATGCATAAAGGTTGCTTTGTAGCAAGAAGGTCCCAGGTTTGCAGCCATTTTCTTACTGAAGGTCCCAGGTTTGCAGCCATTTTCTTACTGAGCACATTTGGGTTCTATCCACGTACCCCAGGTATCACTTATCGTTTTAAAACAAGACTGTCAAGTAATTTAGTCTCCGTTAATTTTGTAAGTCCAGAGGTATGTGCTTGCAAAGTTGTTTCACCTGTGTCTCTCTGTGTTGTCCTGTAATTGCCTGCCGATCTGTGCAGGATAAAGCTTGTACACTTTGAAATTTTCCTCATGCCCTATTTGAGGTTTCCCTAAAAACTGCACGATCTAACATTGGGCGAATTTGCTAGTATAACACTGCTGGGAGATAATTGAGAACAAAGAGCTTTGTGTTTCAAAGTGCAAGCAAAGATAAGAAAGAAATTCCTTTGCTGCATCAGAAGTCATCCGAAGGTAACAGAGGGCTTCCTCGCTCCGTCTTGTGGCATCCCCTGCTCTTTAGTCCATTAGCTCTGTCACTGCATCATTAGGCCTCATTCGCTTCAATAATGCAAACACCATGCAGCCTTCTTATCTGTCTTGCACCTCCTACCACAGCAGGAGCCAACTTACTGACAACACATTATCCAGCTGATGGTGTGTGCAGCAGCTGGCATCATGCTGGCTATAAAACCTGTTTTAGTTGCCTCACAAAGTAATCACTGCCTACTAATTGTTAGTCACATGAAATGAGAGTAATAGTGAATCTGTCAGTCTATGTGCACTGAGTGTATGATGTGTAATGAATAGGCATGTTAATATATGAAAATTACTTATTTATTGTGTTGAAATAAATAAGTAAGAGGTATTACAACTATTGCATTCAAGTAAAGATGACTCAAGTAAGGGTAAAAAAACAAAACAAAAAAAACAAGGAGTTCTTGGAAAACGGCTACTTAATCACAGAGGACTTGAGTAGTACTATTTAATCTGATTTCATTTGTGAGAACGGTGTGATCCTGTCTGTGTCTGGTGTTTGGTTGGAGCCGGAGCAGTTCTGGTGTGACCGAGATCCAAAAAGAGTGATGAAACCAAACTTTGTTGAAGTTCTACCAATCAGAAAAGGGCTTCACAAATCAAAACATGGTTCTAAATATCCTGCTTCTTGTTGAGAATAATCTAGTCCAGGTTTTTAACCCTCTCAGGCTCAAATTACTTGCAAAAGACTGGCAAAGTTGTTGCAAATCTGCAACACCTGTCTGGAGAGGGTTAAGAGTGTAAGTCTTGTAGTTTTGGAATTAGAGCAGTTCTAGTGTGCTATAGAACTTCAAGAAGTTTCTTTATTGAAAAAACTCATTGTTAATTGAACCGCATTAGGACATGTTAAGGTGATAAAAGGAGCTAACCTACTCTCCACTTTCTTTATTTCTTATTAAAGCTTTTTACAGACCTCTGAAATGTGATCCCTTTGGTCTTTGTTATCTTGCTACCATAGTGTTGACAATCAATGCCAAAACTTTGCGTCCCCTTCTCAGATTTGCTTGCTTGAATCATTTCCCCGACCATCGATATCCCTGCCTCAATGCAAAGCAGCAGCACACAGAAATCTATTATTTTATTTTGTGAGCATCTTAATTCCAGACTGAGTTTTTAGTGTTGTCATGTATTATTCAGTTGTTAATCTCTTTCTAAAACAGTAGCTTATAACACCCCCCCCCCCACACACACACACACATATATATATATATATATAGATAGATAGATAGATAGATAGATAGATAGATAGATAGATAGATAGATAGATAGATAGATAGATAGATAGATAGATAGATAGATAGATAGATAGATAGATAGATAGATAGATAGATAGATAGATAGATAGATAGATAGATAGATAGATAGATAGATAGATAGAGATAGATAGATAGATAGATAGATAGATAGATAGATAGATAGATAGATAGATAGATAGATAGATAGATAGATAGATAGATAGATAGATAGATAGATAGATAGATATGGATAGACTGATGATATTTTTATATATTTTTTTTAGATTTAGCTGTGTAGATTTAGAATTTCTGTTACATTAATTCAGCAACAATTCATCAAGAAAAAAAAATCTTGGACAGTGGATGGTAATATGCAGGAATCCAGATGGTTGAAGATGGATGATGGTTTTCCACTCCACTCACAGAGCAGCCAATGAGAGGACGCGGCTGAAGCAGACGCCTCGGTAATCCGACCAATGGGAGAGGAGCTTCCCTGTCTCCCTGCCTGCCTTCTGAATGGCACTGTTTTTGTGCGTCCATGTGACCACAGACACAGGCGCTCGCTGGTATTTAAACATCAACCACAGGGTGCTGAAGTGGACAGCTCCCCACGCAGACCCACAGCGCCGAGCCGAGGCGCCATGGCTGCCGGTGCTCCTCCTGGTGGGTTCCTCTCGGCTTCCTCTCCTCGTCACACTGCATGAATAACACTCCCAGCCTGCCGCGTTATTTCCGAACCCAGACGGAGGCAGGGAGGCGTCGTGCAGTAAGGCGGATGTCAGGGCACCTGTAGCTGATTCTGGATCACAGGTTCAGAAGAATCGGGTTGTTTCACATCAGTTTCGGGTCGGTTCTGCAGGATACGGACTCTGGTGCCGTTTTGGTCCCGTGACAAGGAAGAGCAAATGTCACCCAAAGCCTTTTAGGTGACGGAAGCATTAATTTCTAAGCCGCTCTGTGCTCCTACTCGTACGCAGGGGGAGCATGGATAGAGATGAATTTCCTCTGGCTGGAGCGCTGTGTGGATTTGTGAAGCGGGCGGTGTGCTCCCGTGGAAACTGAACTGAAGAGAGGGACAAAAGCACCGCAACTCACCTCGCCTTTCCCTCCAAAGATCCTTTGGTTTGTTGTTTTCTGTTTTGTTAAGGAGGATATTGCAATTTCCCCCAATCAGTGATGGGGAAAGAGGAGTGCAAAACGATGCTGGATGCTTTGAACAAAGTCACAGCCTGCTATAGGCACCTGGTCATCGCTCTGGGAAGCACATCGGATTCCCAGAACCTGCGAGAGGAGCTGAAGAAGACCCGCAAAAAGGCCCAGGAGCTGGCCGTGGCCAACAGGACTAAACTGACCACCCTGCTCAAAGACAAGACCATCAGCAAGGAGGACCGCGCCGAGTACGAGCGCCTCTGGGTGCTGTTCTCCAGCAGCATGGAGCTCCTGGAGGTGGACATGAAGAGATCCTTGGAGATAGGGCAGGACTTCCCCCTCAAGGTGCCCACCAGGCACCTCATCCAGACAGGCATGACCGGCAGCACTAATGCGGTGGCCGCCCGGGCCATGAGCGTCCAGAACATGAAGTATGAGGCCGACAGCAACATCGACACGGCGGACCTCAGGGACCTGCAGACCGAGATCACGCAGGTGAGCCAGATGATGGAGGAGATGGAGATGAAGGTGCAGGTGGCGCCGTGGGCCGTGGTGGCGAAACAAGAAGCAGGCGCCGAGCTCAAGTCCAACATGAGCGTGGGGAACTCTTCCGTGGGTGTCATCTCCATCTGCGAAGAGGAGCCCAAAGACGATGAAGGTGGAGGCGGCAGGGAGGGGGGTTCTGGTTCGGTCGGCGCCGTGCTGGTGTTCTTTGTCATTGTGGTAGTGGCTCTGGTTCTAGGGTATTTAGTTGTCAATATGTAGTAACTCTCTGACCAACAGCAGGCCCTGAAGGACACCAGCTCTGCTTTCCACGGGAGATATCCGTGTGAAAGGACAAGAGCTCTACAAGACAGAGAGGCGGGTCTGAAAAAACAAATGTTCCTACCCAAAATTATAAATCTTTCTTGGATTTTTGAATGTATTTGGTGGATCTGAAGAGTGTTTTTGACAGTTTTTGATAATAAATAGGCTACTAAAACATTATAGACAACATGGGCCTGGGAGAGAATGGCCATTGGTCCTTTAAGGCATTTGGAGGGGGCAATAGGTCATGTATTTTTGGAAGAGAGGAAAAAAAAGTCATAAAATTACGTGACAGTGTCTGGCCATCAGAGGGATATACACAACACGTAATCCAAGTGGATTAGTGGAAAAGCTCAAGCGTAAATGTAGCCGATGGTTAAGTATCCCTGTTTATGTACATCTGACTGATGCTTTAAAGTCTCGATTTCACTCCAGAACGGTCAGGTGTGTTCACACAAGCAGGTTGAAACATCTCGTCTTAAAATTAGGTTCATGCCTTTGGAAGCTAGAGCCAGCAGTTAATCCCTACGTATCACTTTGGTAGGGGGTGCACAAATCTGCACTGCTCCACAGTCCTGACAGCAAGGTTTTAATGCACCATAATAATCCCTACAATTGCACTGTAATAGTCCTGCATCTTACTGAACTCAACTGCATCCAATTTTTCAGAGGCTTCATGAGAAACAGGACAAGATGTGAACAGTGGTTTCTTATTGCACCTTTTTCACTGCAAAGCCTGTACTTTGTTTCTATTCAGGGTTTTCTTGCAGTTTTGAATGTAAAAACATTGCAACTTGTGAATCGAACATTTGTACATACAATCTACACAGCTGTTTCAAGTCATGTAAATACAGTCTAGTATATTTATTATAATAAAATTTTGAAACACTCTTGAATATGTGAATTCAGTTTCAAGAAAGCTCTGCTGGTGGTGCACAAACAGTCTCTGTATGTCATTTGACATTAGACAGCTGCCTTTGAGAGAAATCTCACCACCATTAGTTGTGATAAATGTCAGATCTAGATCACTACAAAGATGGAGATACATACCTGTAATGCACTTAGAGATATTTCAAGCGGGGGATTAGTCTCAGACTTAACAACCTTAGTGTTAAATTATCGCGAAAGGAGAGTGACACAGCTGCTCCTTTAGCCCCTTAATAGTTTTAAACCTAAGAGTCTTTAGAGGTATTTCTGGACTGGCACCAGGGTGAGACTAGTAATGATTTGGTAATTGTCCGGGGTCACAATGAACTTAGTGAGCTGAAGAAAAATAGTTGTGGACTAGACTCTTAACTTTCTACTCTACAGAAGCGGATTAAACCTTTCACCCGATGTTTGAAGTTCAAACAAAATCTATGTAAATACATTTGATGCACTCAGAAAACAAAATAAACAAAAGACTGAAATATTGTGCTAGCAATTATCATATTATCTTCTTTCTTTGTTATAAAGCTTTGACAACAAATGTAGTTTTATTGAAATAGTTTTTGATCAGTAATAAAATGAATGTGAAGATAGTACCTATACAAACCAGTGATCCTTATTCACTGACATAATTTACATAATCTATCTATCTATCTATCTATCTATCTATCTATCTATCTATCTATCTATCTATCTATCTATCTATCTATCTATCTATCTATCTATCTATCTATCTATCTATCTATCTATCTATCTATCTATCTATCTATCTATCTATCTATCTATCTATCTATCTATCTATCTATATCTATCTATCTATCTATCTATCTAGCTATCTATCTATCTATCTATCTATCTATCTATCTATCTATCTATCTATCTATCTATCTATCTATCTATCTATCTATCTATCTATCTATCTATCTATCTATCTATCTATCTATCTATCTATCTATCTATCTATCTATCTATCTATCTATCTATCTATCTATCTATCTATCTATCTATCTATCTATCTATCTATCTATCTATCTATCTCTGTCCATATATGGAGCTGTTTTAAGAATCAAGGTGGCCTTCACTTGACTTTCAGTCAAAAATCATAATTTCATACTATGAAAAATCACTTTTGCAGGCAGCAGTGAAATGTGTTTTACTACAAACCAATTTTAGATTTTTCTGTCCTTTTGTATTAAAATGTCTCACAGACATTTTCTAAATTAAAACTGGAACATTTGGACCTTGGATCAAACATCCAAGGTCCTTTGGTTGCCAAACTCCTTTCTATCAATGACAGTTTTTGGTAAAATAAATAAATAAATAAATAATACAACTGAAGATATTTACAGTAAGACATAATTCAAAATTAAATTACATTTTTAGTTGTCTTTTTCAAGATAAGGACTGAAATATTGGCTGATAAATTTGGATCTAAAGATACCATTACTGAAAACCCGATGCTTTTATCAAATGCTAAGAAATGACAACAGACCTCTTGTCAGTACATATAAATAAAAAAAAGATCTTTGTCAATCAGATTTTCCCTGAAGACGGGGGCGTGTTCAAGGTTTTCTATTTGGCATGCTGTAAAATTTCTTCTGTCTAAAAAGGTTCATGGGTAAAAGATAAATTACGAAATTTTAATTTTTATTCTTCTCTGACCTTAAACTTGTGTTTGCCATCCAGTTTGTGAGCTTTCTTTGATTATCGCTTAGAAACACTAAAAAGAGCAACACATAAAATATGCTGACTGAATTTCTTGTCAGGACCTTGGTGGTTAAAAAACAATGGCTGCTGAGTTCACACCTGAGTCACAATGAGCTTTCAAACGTCTCAGTCATTGTTGTTGTTATTTCACGAGTTCTCCAGCAGTGACTCATGGACCTCTATGCTCTGTGCTCTGAATCCATGACAGTTTTTGCCCAAAATATAAAAAGCAATAAATTAAACATGTGGTGGAAAGGAGGAAGTTTTTTATAGTTGAAGAGACAATGATTCCCCATCCCCAATAATACATCTTAAAAAAAAGAGGGTAAAATGAATGCAATAACATCAATAACAACGTTTTTCAGGTGAGTACGTTTAGATTTTTGTTTAAATCTAAAGGCATTTTATTAGAACTTCTGCATGATTCAATTCATGTCACCTGAACTCATACAGCAAGCGAGTTCAGAAGAAAAGGTAATATCCACTCTGTGGGCAGAGACAGACCAAAGCATCATCATCATCATCACTTTATCTGGACTTAGATGCAAGGTTTCCAAAGCTGTGAGTTTCCATAGAAACCCTCAACAGACTGCAAACAGCACAGAAGGTCGAGCGGCGTTATTTCAACTCCCCCCCTTTTCTTCACTGCTGCTCAACACACACACACACACACACACACACACACACACACACACACACACACACACACACACACACACACACACACACACACACACACACACACACACACACACACACACACAGCACTCTGCAGCAGAAGGAGAAGATGCGAGAAGAGGAGAGGGCAGCATCAGCAAGATGACAGGATCTCAAGATCTTGTGTCTCACTGTAACAAAATATGCCAAAAAAGCTGAAGAGGCAGGATGGAGTATGGATCAGGTTTGTGGTTCAAAGTGTTTCAGTCAAGTCGGTCACTTCATAGTCTTCATTTAGGTATCCAGGCAACACTGCGACACCTAATTGTTTAATTTAAAATAATAATAAAAAAAAGAATCAGTGACGTGACACATCTCTATTTAGTTAACCAAAAAGGTTTTGAACCATCTCTGATGTTTGCTCAACTTTCTTCATATCTTTCAAATGATCTAGACAAACATTTCTTCTTAGAGTATGTCAAAAGCTTTTCTTTGTACTTTGATTGCTTTTTTAACTCTGCTTCAGCCTAGCAACCCCTTTTCATAGTTTGTCTGTCTGTTATCCTCTGTCACACTTAATCAACATTTAGATTTAGATTTCTTATCTCCAAACACACATTGCCCTCCGATCCACTTCAGCTGCCTTGCTCCATTTTATCATTTAGACAAAATCACTTGTCTCAGCCAACATAAAGTAAAACAAAAAGGCTAAATCGTTTCTCAAAACAACACGCCTCATGGTTTTGTTTATTTGAAAGCCATCTGGAGCATGTGGCCCTCTGAAACAAGTCAAAGCAACAGATCTGGAGAGCTAAACAACCTGATAACAAACCTCTGGGCATCCAGAGCTTTAGTTGGCAGCCCAAAGAATGGAGATCTTTTTGTTTTTTGTTCTTGTGACAAGACACACTCTGCCTTCTGTTTAGCAGCATACTAAAGCAGTCATACAGAGTGATATAACTGTAGTGAAGAAGCACGTTTAATACTCGGCACACTATATTTTATAACTTTTTTTGGTGACTCAGCATGTGCCGTGCTTGATTTATTGCTATTTTTTCCCATATATGTCACAATAATATGTCACAATAAAAGTTCCAAAATATACTTGGAAAAAAAGTAAAAATGAAGAGTCCATAGGGAGAATTAAAGAACAGTTTTTCCTTGTATCAGTTCCACTTTTATATCGCAGTTAAATCTTATGATGTAATATTTAAAAACATAATTAATATTTGCATATGTATTCACGTAAGCTTAGATGACTGTATGTCCTGCACACATTATGTCAATGGAGAAGATACGGAGACAGTTAAAAGCACAAACAGACTGAACTGCTACATCACCAAATAATTATTCAAATTTAAAGGCACCAGACTGTTTCAAAATAAATTACATTTCCCTCTATTAATTGTTTTAGTCATGGTAAAATAATAAAATTGGGATGCACACTTAAAGTGAAAGAACATTTGTTTTAATATTACTGATTTAATTCACCTCAGAGTATTTGATACAAGAGAACGCCAAGAGAGACATTTATTTTTCTTTATTTTGAAGTCAAGACAGAAAACAAATCTTCGTGACAATGACTTCAATGAAAACATACAAAAGCATGAATTTTGCTCTAAAAACTGAAACGTACCTTAACAGATAAAACAGACTACTTTTTGTTTCTGTTTATATGAAAGCAATGTGGAGCATGCGATCCTCTGAAACAAGACAAAACAAGAACTGCTTTAGTCAGAGTAACTGTGCTGCTATACAGTACATGATAATTGTACTTATTCACATTTTTTGTTTAAAATTAAACCCACATCCTGTATGAACTTAGGTAATAAGTAGCCTTTTAATACAAAATAAAAATAAATACAAGTTATGCAAATTACAGTGAGTTTTTTTTTTCCTTTTCAATATGAGAGAATAACACAGACACCAACAGAACTTGATGTAGTTGTTAGAGATCAGAATTCAGCAGCAGACATACTGCCAGTAAATTAAGTCTTTTTGTATCTGTGTACAAAAAAATAACTAAATAGATGTTTCAGTGCAGGTCAAAGTTGACTTTTTGGATTATGTGACAAGGCTGGCATCGTAACAGGGAGCAGGTGGTTATATTTGGGTCTGACTGTGATCTGTAGGGTTGTAGTGTAAGGGTCTGACATCACCATACGGTGCAAATCAGAATCATCTGTTGGATCCTCCAATTGAGAGTCTTTGTGGTCATCCTCGGTCAGCTTCGAAGGGTCTGCCGGATAAAGCTTGTCCCCTAGAAAGAATGTGGAATAAATGTGAAAAGTTAATATTTTGCTAGAATTAATTTACAGGCAGCATAAATGTAATTATTGTTGACTAGGTGATTGGTGAAATGAATTGCATCAAACAAGAATTTCCTGCATGCAATTTTCAGGAAGGATTTATGCCAAGTCAGTCAAGTAATAAATTTCACATCTGCAATTCCCATTCAATTGATCAAGACCTAAGAATGCAATTCAAATCTGAATAAAAATTTATTTGCAAAAAAAAGTTACATTTTTATAATTCATTTCAGGCAGTTATACTCATATTGTATATAGATTCATTATACATAGACCTTGACTTTCCAATATTTAATGTTTGTGAGAAATTCTGACGTGAGAAACGTTTTGATTACCTGTAAGCTATAATCATCAAAATTAGAGGAAATAAATGTTCCACTGTCTGTAATACATCTATATACTAGTTTCACATAAAACAGTAAAGCTTTTCCATGACATTCACATTTTTCAAGAAGTACCTGTGCACTAATCTAACTTGAAGGTTGTAGGACTTCTACATACTTTTGCAGACTCTCCAAAGCTAAAAGTTATGATTTAAAGAGAAACATAAGAGACAATAGATCAGTTTGTGCTAAACTACTTTCCAAAAATATACCAGCTCACAGATGGGCAGCAAGTTCCCTCTGGCCAATAAAATCTATTTTCAGAACTCATCACTCCAAATGCATCAGCGTTAATTTGACACACTGAGTTTTTCTTTAGAAATGAAGAGCACAGACAGTCCAACGGCTGTTGGGGAAGCGATTTGACGCTCGACTCAAAGGTACTTAACTAATGTAGGGCTTGTTCGGCGTTAAGAGGCTGAGATGCCGGAAGTACTGGAGAGAAAGCTGAAAGTTAAAAAATTTACCACTTGCACAAAAAGGTGTGAAAATACAACTAAGGAAAAAGCATTAGCCTAGTGTCTTCTAAATATTATAATTTAGGGGTTTAAATCAACAGGTGATCCTGTGGTGTCTCCAATCATCACCTGTATACATGCATGGTTTCTAAAAGGGATGACGCAATAGTCATAACGCTGCATTCAAAGGCTCAACAAACCAAACTGTGAGATCATGGTGGTTGTTTATCCTGTAAGTATCAGTCAAGACAGATCATTAGAAGAGACATGGCCGATAATAAGCACCTGGGAGGAGAGAAATGTGTTGCTGATCTTGAAGGACGAGAACAGGCATCCACTGATCGCAGCCTTCTGTCGCCCGTTGGTGGGCGAAGCTGTGCAGGTCATTCAGCAGCGGGAAACGGCACATCCGGCTCAGCTCGTAGAACTGCGGCGGAGCGATCCAAAGTCGCCGTGCCTGGTAGCTCTGCAGGATCTCTGAGGGTGTGGACCACTGAAACACACAACAGGTCGAGTTGATTCTTCTTTTTGCAGTTTGAGACAACAAAATGAACCATGTCGTCAGATGTGAAAGGGGTGAAATTAAAATACTGATGTTTAGTTGTTTTATTAAAGCCATTTATTTTTTACATTTGGTTACTGTGAGAACAAGACTCATAGTTTGGTGTTTTACATATATGTGAGGTGTTTAAAAAAAAAAAAAAGCTGCAAGACGCTTCTGGAATCAATATGTTCTATTGAAGTTTGTCAGCTGTTGATTCAGGCTGCTATAACATGGAGCTAAACATGATAGCCATGTTTAGCTCCATGCTATAACAAGGAGCTAAACATGCTACATACATTTCTGAACGTATGCAGGTTTCTGCATACATTCAGAAACCTGAATGTAAATGTTTGCTGCACAAATGTTTGCTGCACAACAAAGCTGTCCTGTTCAATCATTTTAATCATTCAAATCCTGTCTTTCGTGCTGAATTTTAAAATGTTGGCAGCCTTTTGGAAATCTCAGTCAAGGTCACGGACAATTTGTTCTACAGGGAAAACACAATAATTCTAACCAAACATGTAAATATAGAACAGTGACAAACTTAAAAATATATATATAATAATAAAAATATCTGTAACCATCTGATATTTGTTCTAAATTAGCTGTAAAATTCTGTTAAACTACAGAGCGGTGTAATGCTGACTGCTCTCTCTTTTCCAGTGTGACGCCACCCCCGGTTCTAATATTAATAATAATAGGTTCTGGTAATTTCTTCTGTATAATTATCTACCTTAATCCTGGTGGTGATGGTAGAATATCATCTTCTATTGTGGTAAGACAGATGCAGCATACTGGCTTGTTTTGGTGCGTAGTGAGCTGTCTTTTTAAAATGGTTAGCAGCTCAAACATTAGTGGTTCAGCTTTATTTCCTCTCCTCGTGAAGTCCACGCATCGATATTCTTTAAAATTTTGGAAATGTCCAATAATGTCCATCAGATGAACATTTTTATTGAAAGTCCTGCTGGTGTGGTCTTGTTACTTGTTAATTTTAGCCCAGCCAAAATTTGAAAAAATGTAATTATACAATTAGGGAGCACGTATGAAAAAACCTTTTTATGAAATGATTCAAGACAGTATTGACATGGTCTTCGCTGAACAAAAAAAGGATTTTATTACAACCAAGGCCACATCAAAAGTTACTGAATCTAATGTCAAACCTTGAAGAATTGTTTTTTTAACATAGGCTCTTTTACAAACCTGTACTCAACCCACTAGTTTCCCCAGAACATGGCTCTTGAGGTGCTGGGTTTCTGCAGGTTTGCACTTTTTTTTCTGATCTCCATCTCAGTAGTTGATGAGAAAAAACAAAAACCTGGTCAAGTCTTCAAGCCATTCCCTTCAATATTTGAAAGATGAACAATATGACAATATCCGTTTCAGACTGGTAATTTCATAACATATTTTCAGTGACGTATAGTGAGACAACTGTGAAGTTTTTTTTCTCCTTAATATACAAGACTTTTTCCCCCCCCAATTTTAGTTATTTAAACAGAAATCAGAATCAGGGGGGCTATAGAATAAATTTTGGTATTCGGAAATGTGTCATAAAATCGCTGATCGGTGCAAGAAGGACACGTTTTCAAAACCCAACTCGCTTTTACTTCAAAATTCACCTGAACGCGCTCAATTTCCTTCTCGTCTTGCAGCGCGCTGGGCATCTCCTGCAAGCAGCACATGAAGAAAGCCGTGTCAAACCTCGTCCTCCCGTATTTGGCGGTGGGGGTCAGCCAGTTCGCCCACTCGTGTAAAGCCCAGATGTTGGGCAGAACCTGCAACTCCTGGCACATCCTCAAGAAGTTGGAGGGGTTGCTGTTCACCAGTGCCCTCCACTTTGAGAGTTCGTCACAGCGCGGTGTATGCGCCGTGTGGTGCTGACTGAAGCGCGAGTCCTGCAAGCGCTTCAAAACGCGTTTCTCTTCCTCTTTGGGCACAACCAGCAGCACGCCCGACTCCTCAAACGTCTCTCTAACGGCACAGATTCTCAGGGCGACTTCCCCCGGGATGGGAGAGCCGAGCTTGACTCGGTCTGTCGCAAAGATCGGGGGTCTGTCCTCCACGGGCTGCTTGACGCTCCTCAAACCGAAACCGGGGGAACCGAGAAAAGATTTAAACACGTCCAACCAGTCGCTTGAAAAGTCCGAGGAGTCCACCATGCCGCCGGGGAAAACGTACGCGTTGGGCATGAACGTGCTTTTCGCGCTCCGTTTGAGCAACAGGACGTCGTAATCGAAGTGGGAGCTGTGCGGCAGCTGCGTCGCCGCGCCGTTGCCCTCCAACGGAGGTCTTGACGGCAAACTGTCCGCGCCGAGCCTGCGTCCTGCGGCCAGGATGACGGTGGACGCCTCCTTCCACTGCTTCAGAGCGGCGTTCATCTTCAATGAAAAGACTTTCAACTTGTCAAAGTTTCAAACGCTGGTCAACAACAATCGGTCAGAACCTTTACTGTACATGTGACGGAAATGACGTATTTAAAGGGTTATGTTGTGCGTACTATCGCCGCCTACAGACTGGAGGCCTCATAGACCTGCAGGAATATTTCTATAAAACGGGGCGCTCACATGACATTTTTTTATTTATTTACATATATTTATATATTTATTTATATATTTTATATGTACTGTCTTGTGTACATGCAGTTGGTAAAGCTGTTGCCTTGCAGCAAGAAGGTCCGGGGTTCGGTTCCCGGGGTCTTTCTGCACAAGTTTGCATGTTCTCCCTGTGCATGCGTGGGTTCTTTCCAGGTACTCTGGCTTACTCCCACAGTCCAAAAACATGACTCCTAGGTAAATTGGTCTCTCTAAATTCTCCCTTGTGTGTGTGTGTGTGTGTGTGTGTGTGTGTGTATGGTTGTTTGTCTTGTCTGTTTCTGTGTTGCCCTGTGACCCCACCTCTCACCCAGAACGTAGCTAGGCACCAGCACCTCCCGACCCCACTAGGATAAGGGTGACCAGTGACTGTCTTTAGATGTTTTCTTTTCATTAGCAAGTAACCCATAGATAAAAGTCTGAATACAATAAAGTATCTTGGGATGGGGTGAAATGATAAACTTGCATTGGGTAGATGTGCAATGAAGACATCTGCAACCATGTAATGCTACCATGTCAATATATTCCTGAGGAAGTGTTGACACTTCATAAAATATATGTCAGAGTGAATTAAGACAGGTATAAAAGCAAGTGTGGGTCCAGCTTGGTGGTAGTGTGGTGTACCAGCAGTGAGTGTATTTAAGTAGAGATGGGAAAAAAAAGCAAAGAAACATGCAAATGTTAAACTAATGACATAATGACATAATAATTGAAATTCTAAAATCATTTTCATTCATGTTGCAAATATGATTTATTGAATTAAAAACCGTTTTTCAATGAATTACAAAACAATTTTAGCATGTGTGACCTCATCCAAGTGAAAGTTCACTTTGTTTGGATTAGAAAGTGACTTCTCACTTTCTAATCTAAGTGATTAGATTACAAATCTAACCATTAGATTAGATTTCCAGAATAAATACATTTTGTAGTAGGGAAAAAAAACTCAAACAATACTAACAAAACAGCATTTTGCTGCTGAGAACAAAATCAGTCAGATTCTCAGCCTCCCTGAATGTCTCTGAGACTTGGTCATATTGTTCTGGTTCTTCACGGGGTTACTGAGTTTATATGCCAGTGTGTACTTGTGCTAGAAGATTACAGTTGCATGTGAGGTAACTGTTCAAATTCTCTTACAATCCTTATGTAAAAACCAGGCAAAAAAAAAAATAAATAAATAAAACAAACAAACAAAAAGTTTGCCAATTCTCTGGAAAGATTAAAAACATTTATTGTATTAAGAAGTAGACTGCATGAAGACTAATCCTTTTCAAACTGTGTTTACTGTACTATTATGCTATTTTCAATATCTCTCATGTATAATGAACTGTTTGGGTGAAGAAAAAGACAGACAAATCTTAAGTCAAGGCGATGTAATGAGTTGCCTTGAGAAAAAAACAAAACAGCTCAGTAAAGAAATAATTATGGTATTGCAGGGTCAAATTCTCTGACTGCCATGGAGCTCTAAGTAGTAAAAGAAAAAGAAAAAAAAAGAGTGCAAAACCTGGCCAGCAGATACACACACCCACACACACACACACGCACAAATGTGCAAGCACACAACTTCAGTGGTGTCATATGTCTTTATCAAAGAGGCATTGTGAAGAGGTCTGGTTATTTAAGCTGAAATGGAAGGAAGTGTTTTAAGGTTTTCAGAGTAAAAACAAAAAATGTTCTAACTAGAAGTTTTAGCTCCATGCAGCAGAACACGAGCTCTGACAGCAACAGCTACCTCAACATATAGTTGAAATACAGTGCATGCATGGAGTTGTATCTGCAGAATTAATATCCATTTAGTCAGAAAATTACAGTTTGTTCTTCTCTTTTAAAACTTTTTTTTAAACCAACTTTACTCAGCTTTCTCTTCTGTTTGCCTTTGGATGCTTTAATTTCAGCTCTTATCAGTGCATTTCTATAACTCATGTATTTCTGCTGTGGCTGTGAACCATTCCCTCTTTCAGCTTATGGCTTCCCAGGATGGCCAATCAGATTAGGAACCTCCCCCAGGGGAGTGTGTTCAGACTCATGGAGCCTCAGGTTTTCTCCCAGGTCAGACTTTCCTGCTGTTCTTCTCCTAACTTAGATAAGCATCATCTCTTTTGGCTCATCACTGGCCCCAGGTTTTTGAAGAAGCTGTGGTGGATATTTTATGGACTCTAACTAACGAGGTTTCAAATTACAAGTAAGTGAAACAGATAACATGATTTATCATACAAGTCATCAAAAATTGAATTTTTGTTGTTTTCTTTTTTTTATTCCTTTACCTGTCGTAATGTACAGGTAGTACTTTTACTGTGATATATATATTATATCACACTAATATATTAGTGAGTTTATTGTAGTATAATTACACCACAAAAATGTATAATTTTTGTGATTATATATTAATCACGCTGTGATTAATATATAAACACAGTGTGATTATATATTATGTATTAACATACTGTTTAGTTACACATTATCTTGGATGGTGGGAAAAGTCAACATTGAAATGTATCCTGTGTCTCTCCCAAAGTTTGTGACTCAATCTGGTTTTAAAAACTTGAATAATTACAGTTTCTAAGGAGCCCAATGAAAAAAAAATTATAAATAAAATAACATATATATTTATATAGATATATCTATATATAACTTTAGGCATTTTTAATGTGCAAAAATATTTACTTTATTTCTAGAAGTTAATCTTTTCTGTAATTACAAAATCTAGATAATTTATTTAAGTTATGTTTTATTTGTTGCATTAATTATTAATGCATCAAAGCTCACATTAGACTTGGAATAGGTTTAAAAAAGTGTCTGATATGTTGTTTGTAGTAGTCAAATTCTGGAATCTCAAAAAAGATGAACAATTATTGAATAATCAGCTTTTGGAAAAACACTACTAATTTTGGTAAAAAAAAAATCACTTAATATTTTCAAAGTAAACTATGTTATGTTCTGTTCCTATAAAAACTGACAAATAAATATATCAATAAACAAACACAGGGAATGTGTTCAGAGTTAGCTCTACAAAATGCTCATTATTTCTCAAACTGAAATGTCATATTGATGATTTAACAATGTGGACTCTAAATATGCTATATTGTTCTTCAAGGCACTTCATTCCTTTTTTACCCTGTATATAACCTAACTGTATTACACAACAGCAAAATCATATGGTTTAACACATTCCCAACTCTCCCAGAAAAGAAAGACAAACATGCCTTTGTGTGTATCTGAGTCAATCTATATATGTTACGTTTTTAACACACTCAGTCATAAAGGTTGTGACCTCATTCCTATCTGACTGCCTGTGTACAACTTTACCACCAATAATCAAAAGTAAATCGCAGGACAGAACAAAACGCAACAAAAACAACTCAGGAATTGAAACTGCAGCAGCTTCAGAAAACATGGAATGACTGATCAAGAAGCTAAAATGTTGCATTACAGCTTCTTTTTATGGGAAAAAAATGTAAAACAAAACTATGAAAGAATTAAAAAGCTTTCTCTTTGAGTTGATACTTTTCCCTAAAAATGTTTAAATAAAAAGAAGAAATTGTTTTCCTTCTTTCTTTGCATGTGTTTGTTGGATGATGCTCTCGTTAGTTAATAAACAGAGTTTACTGGTTGTGAGTGAACATAATTTCCTGGAAATCTTATCTTGATTTGTCACTCAAGTGACAACAAACATGTTTACTGGTTGAATAATTGTCAACATGACTGCTGTTGAAGTTGAAAGAGAAATTGAACTCCGAACACACGGAACTATTTATTTCACACTCTTTTATTAAATCAGACAAAACCTTTCCGGTTTTAAATCAGACTAGATCACTAAACTATGATCTAATTTAGTGATCATAGTTTAGTAAACTATGATCTAGTAAACTAGATCATGCTGACTTCCAGAATAATATAAATACTACCCAAAACTCCCAAATTTATCGATATGCTGGCATTCACTGTAGCATAACTGACAAAATCTGAATGATTTAGTCTGACCTAATGTCAGTCTTTGCAGTCTTTAAGCCATTTGTGTGTTTTTTCACAGAAATGGAAACAGACAGCATCAGTAAAGCTTCACAAAATGGCACCACAGACAATGTCGGCCCCTCAGAGAAAAAGCGACCAGAGAAAGCAGCAATGCTTCAACAAGATGTGAGTATTAGTTCAAGCAGTGCTCTGAGAAAAAGGCTGAATAAATGTTCACACCATAGAATCCCACCATATGCACCCTCTTGCAGTAAGGGGGGGAGCAGGAGCTGCGTACCAGGCAGTGCTACAGCAAGTGTCTCTGCAATTTAACCCCGCACCCATCAGCTCCAGGGTTTCTAAACTCTCACAGTCCTGAGATATATTTTACGGAAATTATAGTTTGAATGTAGTGCTTGTTGTTGGGAAAACATATGTGCGGAGGAGCGGATGTTATATATTTGAACAAAGTCAAACTAAGAGGAATGTTCTTCAAACACAACTTCCTGGTATATTACAAACCAAACATTCTTCAACAGAAAGTATCATACAGAAAGAGTTAAAGTACACAAAGATAAAGGCAACTGAGCTTGTGTATAACTGTTTCCCCCTTTTGGGTCCAACACGATGACTCAGCTCTTGTGGCTGACATTCAGAAGTCTACCTACATTTGAACAAAGCACAATGTACACTTTTTAAAACCCTCTTCATGACAGCAAAAAGTGAAAAAATCTTTTTGAAAAATGAAAAGACTCACAAAAAACAGCAAAATCATTACTATTATATTTGCAATCAAACCTCTGGGATTGTCCAACCCCGGGTTATATTTATAAACCATAACAGTATTTTCACTTATGGTCACTGCATTTGCATGCAACACTGATATGATATGTTATGATAACTGGAATGATAAGTTTTTATAGATAAAGAATAATGATAACTGGAATGATAAGTTTTTACAGATAAAGAACAGGGAAGCTCTCATGCTTGATTTAATGGTCCCTGCATTCTGCAGGTCAAACTGACCCAGTGGCATAAAGAGAGAAGCAGGAAGCTGTTTAGTTATTGTAGGATTTTAGGAAAAAAGAGTGTGAGGATAGGTATAAGCTTTCAAAAACTTTGTTGCCAATGTGAGATAAATCAGATTTGTATTACTGACTTTACAGTAACACCTGATGGTTTTACTTTTCTTCTTATGCAAATGTTAATGAGACACTTTGTTGCTGTGGGGTTAGGTGGTAGTTCAGCATCCAGTCATGCAGACTGATTTCAGAGAAATTTCAGAAAAAAATGGGTCACTCTTAGCACATCAGTATCTCAGCAGATACCATGATAGGATGTCACTGTTGCAATAAGTCCAGTTGTGAAGTGATCTTGAAACTAAATACCCCACAGTCAGCCGGTGGCCCAGTTCACTTCTCAGAGGTGGGGCATAGTGCATAGAGGTTGCGTAACCATCTGCAGAACCCATACATACCTTCAAACTTTATGTGACCTTGAGACCAATTCAAGTGAAGAGTTTTTAAAATGGCTGAACCTTATATTACCAAGTGCATTTCAAAAAGTTGGATGCATTGGCGAAAAGTACACGTGTTGCTTGAAGAGATGAGTTTTGCCTGTCTCAGACAATCCAGTATCAGTGTGTGTTTGGCAGATGCCACAAAAAAGGTACTTTAGTCACACCTGAGTCAAGTGTAAAATTTGGTGCAGAGGTACTTATGTTATAAAGCTGCAAGGAGCTAGGAAAGAATTTGTAATTATTTGGCATACCAAAACATCACACATCCAATTTTCTGGGAATAGACACTTATTGTTCCAGCATGACTGCACACCAGCTGCATACAAACAACTTCAGGGATAGCACCAGCAACGTCAACCTTGTATTTCATGGAAGGGAATTGATTGACAGCAGACCGCATTTGTTGATTGGTCCTTGATTTACATCACTGGAAACTCCAGTATTTCTCAGATAGTTAAGCAGTGGACAGGGAAACGTGCCGTCAGAGAGCTGCTCAGTGTGGCGGAGCGTAATCATACGTTAACTGTTGGAGCAGAGTGACCGTGATCTCACAGCCTCACAAGCTGCAGGTCTCTCTGAAGAACAGGCAGCAACAAAGAGGAGAAACATCGTGGTTCTTGGGAGCGTTCTGTCGGAGCTACAGTTTTCACCAATGTAATTTTATTTTTTGTTTGGAATTTCTTTAGGTAAAGTTCATGTGTGGATATTGGTTTACATCTTCTGACTGAATTACCTAAATCCAAAAGGTTGCACATTCAAAAAAAAATAAAGTGGCAGAATATAAATATATTTATGTGTATAATGAAATAATATATACTTGTGTTTTTAATAAAGATGATGATGATGATGATCAGAATCGTTATCATAGTATTTGGACCAGCAATTAATTTTTATAGGACAAAATGAATCACAACCTCAAGGTTGTCCTTTGCAGAGGGTTACTGCAAACATCAGCAGAGATTCGACCACAACTGCTGCTTACCAGCTGTCCACATTCCCATATTCATGCCCACATAGTGAGGAGCAGCTCCTGATGAAGACACTCATTACTGAGGTTGAACCGAACAAGACATGAACTGGTTAGAGTGAGTCTTGCCAGTTGATAAACGCTTTTAGAGTGCAGACTGTGAGCCAAGTCTGTTTGTCCACCATCAGTGTCTGACCTCACAAGAACTTGATGACATTTTATCATAATGTGATAATTCAAATTATTGGATCAGTATTTAGATACTTCACATATTTACTGTACTGAGATAAAACAACAATATAATGATCTGTTTAAATACTTAAATAAAGTCATGAAGTGGAACATGAAAACACTGCAGTTTCCAAAGAATCAGGTTATGTATTTAAACTAAGTTGATTGACTTTTTTTCCCTCTGTGATTGAACAGATTGGTTTGCTGAGTGGCATTTCCATGATTGTGGGAACAATGATTGGCTCAGGGATCTTCATTTCTCCTAAATCAGTGTTGCTGTACTCAGGAGCTGTGGGTCCCTGTCTCCTCATCTGGACTGCCTGTGGAGTATTAGCCACTATGGGTGAGATCATTATGTTTTTCCTTACAGTGTGCTTTGTTTACATGCACTATATGCATGCCACATCAATTATTGAAAAGGATTAGAAATTATTTATCACAACCTCAGTTTCTAAGTCGCAAAAACTGTTTTAGAAAGTCGTATAAACTTTGTAGAACCACTGTATAAAACATTGTTTGATTCCTCAGTGTGTCTCAGATGAGCCACAACTACTCAGAGACACAAGGATTCAGTAAGAAAATGCATTTTAGGATGAGGCTGTGGTGCTACAGTCACTGTTTTCCTCACCAAAAATGTGATGACGAATGATAACAATTTATTACTTTGTAGTGGAGTTTCTGAGCCAGAAATGTTCAGGCAGTGACCTTGACCAAGCCTATTAAAGCCAGAGGCTTTGTGGACTCTTCTTCACCCCTTGTTTGGCAAGCGGCACTCTTTTTTGATCAAAAGAAATCATAAAATCATAAACCACTGATAAAGAACCTAAAAAGATTTACTAATATTATGGGATACCAACGTTGCATTGTATGTCTTTTCTAGCCTCCACATTTCCTCAATCTGTTGTTTGCAAACCTGCTTATTTTCTGTCATTTAAAAAAAAAATGATAGAAGCTTTATAGTCACTTTAATAGTAAACATGGTCTGTGTTGTGGAAAGAATAACTGATGAAGATGTCGCCAAAAAAAGCTAAGTACCTTTCTGTTACAAATGACATATTTTTAGATGAGGGTATTTGGAACCCAGTTTTATGTCTTTACAGTTATTCAGGTGATGTAAAGTCTGTCATCTTAACATGCAAAAAAACCACATAGCCTTTTTCCTTCCCAGAATCCAGATTGTGTCATTAAATATTTAGCTTTTAAAATCTAACCATCTTACTTTATTTTTTGATGATTTCATTTAAAAAAACCTTGTGATTAAATATGGCAATTCCAAAGGTAAGCTTGGTAAAACATTTAATAAAGTTTTGCAGTGCTACTTAGCTTTTTATTATGTTTTTATAAATGTAATATATTGCAGAGCTGCTGCTTTTGAGGTGCAGCATCATATAAGACTCACATAAAATTATACAATTATACACCAGTTAAACCACTGAGTCATTTGGTTTTTATTCTTTAACAACACTATTTTTACTTGTGATTGTTTTATGACAATTATAAAATCTAATCCGTCATGGAAAATTATGAGTTCTTGAGTTTAAACTGTCAGAATAAAGCCCAGGACTTTGTCCTTCAATGTCAGGGTGGTAAATGTTAATGTGTATGTGTGCAACATAAAAAAACAAATTGGGAAAGCAGCTGGATGATCATCACTAACAAACAGAAATGTGGCTTCTTTGCCAAATGAAAGTTATTGATCAATTTTAACGTTGATGGTGATCGATCTAAACAAACAAAAAAAAAATCATTAACATAGTCTTTTTCAAGTTACTTTTTTATTACTGTGTTTTACAAGACTTTTCTTTCTTTCTGTCTTTTTGGGTTTGGCCACTCAGGAGCCCTTTGCTATGCTGAACTTGGTACTATGATCACCAAATCCGGGGCAGAGTACTCCTATCTAATGGAGGCTTTCGGCTCCATTGTTGCCTACCTTTACTCTTGGACCACTGTTATGGTGCTGAAACCTTCCTCATTTGCCATCATCACTCTTAGCTTTGCAGAATATGCCTCTGCTCCTTTTTACCCTGACTGCACCCCTCCTCTCGTGGTTATCAAGTGCCTGGCAGCAGCTGCGATAAGTAAGTAACACAAAAAAAAAAAAAAAGACGAAACAATAAATTTGGTTCTTGTTGATATCACAGATAATTTCGCCCATACTTAATTAACCTGTGACCAAAATATGCTCAAAATAGATAAAATAGCAACTTATGATGCTGCTTATGAAGATAAATGTCATTTTTAAAAATTTTTTTGTCTTTGTTTCTTTATAGTCATAATCACTAGTGTGAACTGTTTGAGTGTCAAACTAGCAAGCTACGTGCAGAACTTTTTTACTGGGGCCAAACTTATTATCATCGTCGTCATTGTGGTGGCTGGCATCGTTCTGATGGCTCAAGGTTTTACTCTGATTACTCTTCTCATTTCAGTTTAACTTAAGTACTTCTCATTTGATGAAGTAACTATGAAATCTCAGTTTTATGTTTTCATGTTTTTGAATGCAGGTAAAACAGAGAACTTGTCAAATACATTTGAAGGCTCATCCACATCTTTTGGTGCAATTGGACTTGCCTTTTATAACGGACTTTGGGCTTATGATGGATGGTAATAATTTACATTTTTCTACTTTGCAGCAGATTTTTTTCTTCACTAAACTATATTAATATGCAACAAATAATCTATGTCATTCAGTCCCACTGTTGATCACACAACTGATCAGAAATTAGTGAGGAATAATAAATTCATTCAAGGGAATGGGGTTATGTACCATAATAAAAATTATTAATCAATCAAATAAATTAAATATAATCACAAACTATGTTTAATGTTATTTCCAGTCTATTTCCCAATCATGTGAATAAAAAAGTTTCAATATTTATCTCATAATGTGATCAAGAAATGAAATGCAACTTTTATCAGAGGTTTTCTTGATTATCGTTGAAGTTTAAAGGGCTTCATCATTATTTACATAAATTGTCATTATAGATTTTTTAAAGGAAAAATAAAATTTTCTATTTCAAATAACTATTCACAAAGTAATATAACGCAAAACCAAAATACAAATCTATGATTAGATAATGTGGATTATGAAGTTGTTTCACAACATGCAATTACAGGGATAGTTTAAAATAAAATGACTTTTTGTGATCACTTTATGATGTCAGATATTGGCATGCACCGTACAGCTGATGATAACAGTGATGATAAGGATTTTTCACATGGTGACTTTGAATTTTGACCTGTGAATATTTCTCTACCAGGTCTGTTTTTTTTTAGCTCCTTAGAAGATAAAGGGATAGCTCAGATAGTCAGACAGCCTGACGAGTCAAAAAATACACCCAACCCTCCCTGGAAATAATTATATAATTAAGAAAGGAGAGCTTTGTAAAACTGAGGAAGGCTTAGATGTTAGTTATGCCATCAACTCAGAACCTATTAACCTTTTCAGAAACTGAGGTTGTTCAGAAAATCCATTTTGTATGTATGTAGTTCCCAGAAGTCTGAACCGGAAGTGATCCGCCATCTTGGTAGGCAAGCACAACGCAAAGCATAGATGAACTGTGGCTTCGAGACCAACAAAAAGAAAGCATTTTGACATTCTTTACCAATTTGCAAGAGAATAATACATCATCAAAATCACTGCTGTAGGAATTGACCCATATGAGAGAGAGAAGGTTGTGTGTTTATTGTTATCATAATATTGCCATAGTAATTGTCATAATAGTTAGTTATGGATACCTTCTAAGATGGCTGTTCCTGGAAAGGTGACGCTACATGAGAACTATGCATTAAAGATGCTGTTGATAATAATCTCTTAACAATTAATAGATGCAATTTCATTCTTTAATTGGTTTGTCAGTGAATCAAATGTTTTATTTTTTTGTTTTTTTTTCCCAATATTTTGACAGGAATCAACTGAATTTCATCACTGAGGAGTTAAAAAACCCATTCAGGTAAAAATATTTACCTTTATGAATTTCTGCTCAAGAAATTGCTAGTAAAATGCTTGCATGATATTTATTGCAGAAACTGGTCAGCATACTTTTGTGTATGAATCAAGATCTTGAGAAATTTGAATATTAACTAGTGTAAAGTCCCTTCTAATATTTTTTTCCTCTCAAATTGCCTACAGAAATTTGCCTCTGGCCATCATCATTGGAATCCCTTTGGTGACTGTGTGCTATGTGTTTGTTAACATAGCTTACTTTACTGTTATGACGCCCTCTGAACTGCTGTCGTCTTCAGCTGTTGCAGTGGTAAGGACGATTATCCATAAACCAAAGAGCTGCACAACTTAAAAAAAAAAAACTTGTATGACTTATCAGCATGGCATGCATATTAAAAGGCTTTAATGAGAGCTTTCTAAAATGAGCTAATGACCATTTCAAATGCAGAATGTTTGATACGCCCCCCTTTTAGATCTTCAGATTAACTCCTGAGGCACTTTTTTTTCTGTCTCCATAGACTTTTGGGGACAGAGTCCTTTACCCTGTGGCTTGGATAGTTCCTCTGTTTGTGGCCTTTTCAACATTTGGTTCTGCAAATGGAAGCTGCTTCACTGCTGGCAGGTAAAACAAACACATTCATTGAATTTTATTTCTGATTGTACCTATCTAATGCTTAGTAAAGTAATTTTTAGATGTGGAGTGAAAAGTAGAACAATGCCAACTGAATTATTCATTATCAGCTCACATTGCATTTTTTTCTTCCTCAGACTGTCCTATGTAGCTGGTCGAGAGGGACACATGGTGAAAATCTTATCCTATATTAGTTTGAGACGCTTCACTCCTTTACCTGCTCTCTTATTTAACGTAAGTCTAAAATATTTATTGTTTGAGTTCCTGTGTTGAACATGGTCCCACTGGATCACCTTAATGTTGACCTGTAAACTCAAAATAACTAAAAATCCTATTTGCAAATTCTTTGCTCACTTTGCTATTTCAATCAACAAGTAATTTGTCTATTTTCTTGCTTTCTATTCTAGGGGATTTTAGCAATATTCTACATTATTCCTGCAGACATCAATACTCTGATAAACTACTTCAGTTTTGCTCAGTGGGGCTTCTATGGTCTGACAACTCTGGCTCTAATTGTTATGCGTTTCACCCGGAAAGATCTCGACAGGCCTGTGAAGGTGAGGCTTTCTGAAAAGCTTTCAACAGATTTAAGTGTGTGTTGCTTTACAAATACACTTAAAAGTGTTGCGTGATAAAAAAAAGTCAACCAAAAGCATTAATGCCAATTTTGTCATGCATTTCAATGCATTTTATTAAGATTATAAGCTACCACCATTTATCATGGTACTGATGATGTGTTCAAGGATTCAGTAAAAAATGTTAAAATGACCTCTGTTTTTGCTACATACTAAAGGTGCCCATGGTCATAGCTGGCATCGTAACCTTGGTGTCCTGCTACCTTGTCTTGGCCCCCATCATCGATAAGCCTGAGTGGGAGTACCTTTACTGCACCATCTTCATCTTCAGTGGACTCATCCTTTACTTCCCATTGGTCCACAAGAAGGCAAACTGGGCACGCAAAATCATGAGTATGGTTCCTCTCTCAGCTAACAGAATATCTGGCAGATTCAATTCACCTGTACATAGGCATTAATTGCAGAAATGTCTTTAGCAAAGGCAGACACCAGGCAGATAAAAATGTTCAGTCATGTTTAGCTGATATGACACTTAATCTTCTTTCCTCCACAGGGCCCATCACCATGCATCTCCAGCTGCTAATGGAGGTAGTTCCACCAGAGAAAACCGAATAAGAAGGGACAACCTGTTCAGATGAACTCTTTTGGGATCTCCTGCAGCATTTTGGACTTTATCAGGAGAAGATCTGGTGCTTGTAAATGATACTGTCAAACACAAGAACATATTCTGTTTGAAAAGCTATCCCTATGTTAGGGAGAATGAGTTGAAACAATCACGATTTATAATAATTTATGAGTTTATCATTGCATGTTATACAATAGAAGGTGAGGGCTGATAGAAAAAGATGACTAGGCTAGAGTGTTGTTCTCATAAGTCATGGTTGTGCTGCATTGAACAGTGGAAGAGTAAGCTTCCACCCCAGTTTCTCACCACAGACTTTGATCCTGCAACTTTGCACTAATGCAGAAAAAACATACTTATTGTCAGTTTTATAAAAAAATTACTGTGTTGTTGATCATGAACTTGTGAACCAGGATAGCCTGAAAATATCAGGCATAGTTCAGAAATTGTCTTTATGCTTCATACCGACATATTTCTCTCTGTGTGATAGATTTTTATTTTTCATTCTGCTTTTTTCAAAGCCAGAATGAAAAATAGCTGCTACACCCTTATGGATTTACACGTCCGTACAGGGATGCCATTTAATTTTGTTAAAATGAATCTACAAATGAGGAACATGAGGGCTTCAGCATCATTTCTTCAGGAGGTTCTTTTTCTCTTATTTGCCAGTTTGAATTGAATTATCAAATTTTATCTTTAAAAATGCGTTTCGTAAAACTTTCTTTACTGTTAAGTTATAATGTCTTTAGACTGAGAGTATTGTGATACCTGCTGTGTATTAAAGTTTTAATCTTTTCAAACACAAACATCCAATGATATTTCTTTTTAGCTGCTACTTTTTTTTAAACTTCACAAATGTTTAATCAATTGAAATAAATCAGCTGATTGCCAGTTTAGATATATAGGAAAACTGTGAGACGATGTGCAATGTATATTTTTTTGCCCTAATAATTTAATAATTTGAAGATGTAAGAGGCATAAATAATGAAGTGCAAGTTATTTTCAGTTTAGTCAAGTGGAAGTTCAGTTACCATACTCCACACAGTACATAATTAACAGCTACAATAACATCTGCCAAAAACACAAAGACAGAAGAAGCAGCTTATGTAACACGTGGTTATTTCCCTTGCGGTGTGTAATAGTGAAAAAAAAACCCTGTAAACTAAGCACAAGTAACACTTTTGCTTGAAATATAAAATTTGTTTCATATACATGGTTCACATTCTTTATGTTGAAGAACGGCTCAGGGACGTTGCTTAAACAAAATATCTTGAGTCTTATTTCACAGGAGGAAGTGTGTTTATTTAAATTGTTCAATAAATAATAAAAAGAAAAATTGTCAATGCAAATTCCAATAAAATAAATCAGACTTTGCATCTGTTGACATTATGTGGAAAGACCCAGGGTTGTGTTTTGTTTTCCAGGGTCTTGCACCAGATTTTTCCTTAACAAAAATATTTAAATGATAACACATTCAACTAAATTACTCTAGATTGTGATGCAAGAGGAATGAGGCATTTGTAGTTATATTTTCAGGTGAGAGCAGGTTGTTAAGGATGTCCACCAGGTGGCAGTGTAATACTAATATATCAGACTTCTTAGAAGTCAGTTTATGTTTCATGTGTTTATAACGTCAGCACTAAATATATCGAGGGATTTATGTGCATTACTGGTTTTCTTGCGTTTTCTACAGAAGGCATAAAAATGAAAAACTACATCTGATGTTTTTATTTAGCTGTATATTTATTTTTAATTATTGCAGCGTTTTAATATGACATTAGTTGCACATGGTGATATTTATAGTTGGGCATCACTTGGTGACAGACAGGTAAACAAAGATAATTGATCCCAGACTCCCCTGGATAATTCATTGCTCCTTTATTGCCCTCTAGTGGCATTCAGACACAATCTCACAGGTAAGAATGTTGAAACTGGAGGGTTTTCCAAAACCAGTACTAGAATTTTACTAGTCAAAGGCTGTGATTGTCACAGCTTTTGACTAGCAAAATCATCGCTGCCAGCAGGAGCAACATGCTGTTTGTGTAGGCTCGTGTTTTTTAGGTTATTTGGTGGTTTTGTGTGGAAAACGGAATCCATTTAAGTTTTCACAGTTCAGAGATGAACTGCCGAAGTCTTGCTTGTGATTCAGGTTGCAAGTCTGTCCAGTAAGATAATATTGCATATTTCAGTTTGACAAATTTAAGGTTGCATTTGAAAATGTTTTTCATCATTTAAAGTTGAGCAGTTACATTCTGTTTCGTCATTCTTTTATGGATTTTCAAACCGAGGCTGTAAGAAATAAGATTTTTCATTTCAGTAACAACTAAAAGAGGGAGGGGGAGCAGAATTTTTAAAGAGCTGGCTCTTCAAGTGCTGTTGATGCTTATGAGGGGATCCAAACCTTCTCTCCCTCCTTTTCAGTGTGAATGTTTAGTGCTGTATTGCGCTACACGAGCAGTCAAGGACCTTATTTGTTGTTGTAAAAACAGAATAATTCCTCGCCAGTAATCCTCACCCAAGGAGCCAATCTGAATTGCGGGTCTGTTTGGTGTGTGAGCAGTATCTTCACAAATTGCAAAGTGCACTTGACAAAATGAGGCGTCATTTGCAGTGCTGCTTCTGCAGCTGGTGTTGGATGTGCTGATGAAGTAGTTTACTTCTCAGTTCCAAGTCATAACTCCTACTAAATAGACGAGCTGTAAATGAATTGGGATTTATAGCATTGACATTGTCAGACACTTCAGCCAACAGAATAAGCATGTGCAAATCTTTGTTGACATGTTATGACTTCATATTCAACGTTGAACCACAGAAATATGCAGCTCCAGTAAAAATCTGTTTTACTTGACTTTCATAGGTACTAGAAAAAAAAATCTTCTGGCTCAGTCATTCATTCTTTAACAGATAAACTCACAAGATGTTATTGTATTGTTATTTTATAGAAGCTCAACAAGCTTCACCATCTTTTTTCTGTTTAGTTGTACACCATTTTATCCTCTGAATTCAAATCTCTGCAGTTTTCACCACAGTAGTTTTCGCCTCCATTTTCAATTAATGAATCTAAATTGCCCTCAAATTTGAAAATGTTTTGTATTGGTTCTAACTGTTTTTGGTATTGTTTCTATCTGTGATTGACTGGAAATTTGTTCAAATTGTACCCTGAATCTTGCCTGTTTACATCTGGAGATAGAGATCAGGCCCCTCATCGTGCTGTAAATATTAAGTGAATGTGAAGGGAACCTTAATATTAGAGTCTCAGTCTTTTAATTACACTGGGCCCACAGGATAAGAAACTGCATAAGTTGCATTCCCCTTCATCACAGAGTCAGTCACAACTATCACGTACGAGAAAATCATGAAAGAATTATGACTATACATCTTAGCTACAGCAGAGGCAAAAAGACTTTCCACTGCTGCTTTCACTGTGAATTTTGGTTTTCACTATTGCTCCAGTGTTGTATGTCTGTCATTGAATACTGAATTCTGAATTAAAGTAGATCCTGATGTTTGATCACAGTTCGCTCATATGCATTAGGCACATAGTGCTAACATGCTAACACTAATTCTTTACTGCCGTACCCCCAGCTCCTCAAAGTGAAAATCTAAGTTTTCAAACTTTCGAAAAAAAGAAAAAGAAAAGAGTACTGGTTGTCAAAGTTTGTTCAACTATAGTCACAGGGAGTTATTTCCATGTGTTAATTGCTAACTTGGTCTGTCCTAATCAAATTGTGCGTTGCTACAGTGGCAGACTGATTGAACATTAATATGGTAAATATTCTGCTGCGGATGAGCGCTCTTTATGCACACATTATGGAGATATGCATGCAGCACTGACGGCATGGCCACATACTCAGACCGACGCATACAATACGCTCAAATATCGCTTCATTAATGGTTAGCAGTTCTGATGAGCTCTCATCTGCATGTCATTATCATGACATTACTGCACTTTTGCATTTGGTTACTAAATTAGCATTTGGATTAGAGGCTCGCAATCATTCAGCGACCTTTCCAAAAACTGCATTATAATGCATCCCTAATGAACCTAAGCTACAAATGAAACTTGTGATTGTTCTTATTGTTTACAGATTTTCTAAAATAATATTTCTACGCTCCGAGCTGCACCGGACCATTAGGATGATGATTTTAGCTTCTTTTCAGGTTTGGGACTTTACTTGACTTCCACTTTATTCTGCTTCATTAAAATGGTTACAATGGCTACCACTTCCTGCTGTGTTTGTTTTATTTTGTTAATCGAGAAAGAAGTTGACGGCAGGTGTTACAGTTGTTTTTGTTTTTACCATGTTTACCATTTCCGAGGGGCTCTTGTGGTGTGGGATTCTACTTGTGTACAAATGTCTAAAAACATTGTAAAGTGTAAAACATGCCAAAATTAAGGCATGTTAATGCAGCTGCAAAATATTTATTTTTTTTACAAAAGGTTTCAATGCTTTTCTTTTTAAAAGGAAATGCTTCCCACTTTCTTGTCACTCATATATTCAGCAAAGGAGACGGTTTTGTCAGCTTTTATGCTTTCTGCCACTGGAGGGCACATTTCCATAAGAAACAGCAGCAAGGGGACCCAACCATTTCTTGAGGCTGATCATCCTTTCACAGTCCAGGGTTCAGCTCTTCTAGATTTGTGGATTGCCTCTTCATGGCACAGCTCCCAGAAATATCCTTTCATTGACTTTAATGTTATGAAAAAAGGATTCTTTCTCTTTATTATAAAGTTTCAAATGACCATACCTTAGAAATGTCATGTTAATCATTTTGTTTGATTGCTTTTCTCTGCATAATAATTTGTGACTCTCCCCTCTTTCCACCCTAAATTATGCTATTTGTTGATTTTTTTTCTGGGATTGCTGCATTTCTTTTGAGCTACAACTGAAGCACAAGGGGAATTGTGTGAATAGAGCAGCTTCCTGTTGAAAAATATACTTCTATGATGCAAAAAATTAGGCACTTTTTTGCCTAATTTCTCTATTACTTGGATAATAGAGAAATATACTCAAAGGAAAGACCAAGCAATAAAAAAGTAATCCGTGTGAAAATGTTTCACATCCTTAAATTAATACTTTATTAAAACCACAATTTAAAATGTTATCTTTCTTTGACTGGAGTTTGTTAGGATCCCACATCTTGACTTGACATCATTTGCTTACTTTTAAGGACTTTCTCTTTTCCACAGGTTGTTTTGGGATACATTGTTGGTTTTATGCTAAATTTAGTTGTAGATTCTGGGTCAGCTTTACTAAAATGTAAATTTTTCATCTCCTGAAGTATTTCTGTTGTTGACTTGCTGTGGTTGGACTCACTGTAAAGAAAGATACAATTCCTCTTCATTTTCCGCTTTCTAACAGGCAACTAAAAGTTTCATGTCACAACAGATTGATATTTGGATTCATACATGTTTTATACTTCGTAATCCAACCTTGTGGGGCGTTGATAGGACTGCTGAGACACCAATGTCTCCGGCCTTAAAATAAAAAGTTCGAGATGATTCTATCAAGATTAGGAGATATTTTGACAATCCAATTTTCATCAGCTGTTAATAACAGGGATGGTTGAGGTTGCAACAGTGGCTGAGTCAATACACTGATTATTAAGATGTGTGATTTGAGTAGAATTGGATAGTGCCTTAAATCCAAAGGGAAAATGTTGTGCTGAGTAGAAATTGCAGGATATCTATGTAGCATGTAAACATAATCTCAAGGCACCTATAAGAAAAACTTATTCAGTTTGTTATATTAAGCCAAATGAATTCATTTGTATAGATCATATAAATAGAACAATTCAGCTGCAT